CCCCCTTCCTTTGCCCTTCCTTTGGGTAGCGGGGGGGGGGGGGGGGCGGGGGGGGGGGGATAGCGATTTTGCGGATCGATTACCATTACCATTACCAATGCAGCTGTCACGTGCCTTTACGATTACCAATATCGTCGTTGTTGCCACTACCATTACCATTAGGAAAATGATTTGTTTGCTCCATTCCTCTCTCCTCTCTCTCCTCTGTCGGACTCCGGCGGGTCGTTTGTTCCTCGGGTTCCATTTAAGGAATGATATGCAAATGATAGGACGTGGAAGGACTGCTTGAGAAAGGTGTCACGGTTGAAAAAAAAAAGAAAGAGGTGACTCCGATTTTATTTCTCTGTATCGACGGCTCGACCGATTTATCGGCATCGAGGCTGATGAAAAAAGAGACGGGACGGAGCCGATTTCTCCCCGATTTTGGAGCCGAAGGCAGAAAACCTGAGAAAACCGTCGGTCGCACCGACCCCGGAATGACAATGAGCCTCTCGTCATGACAACGAGCCTCCTCATGACAGATGAGCCTCGGAAGTGGGAGTGTAGCCTGCCCAGCCCAGGTGCCTCCGCCGCGATAAGGCTCTTGACTAATGAACGAGGACACTCCTTCTCTCCCCCCCCCCTCCGCTTTAAAGGCGCCTGATGGATGGACGGAGCAGGTGCGAGGGTGGGGCGGGTGGATGGGTGGGGCGTGCAGGTGGGGCAGGTGGAGCGGGGGGGTCCGACTCCAACGGTGCGCAGGTGACCATCGCTCTAACCCCGCGTTTCTTCCCCGGATGGTTACGAAAACGTTGCGAAGCTAATTAACATAACAATTAAATTATTACGAAATAAATAAGTAAAAAATCAACAAGTAGAAAAATGTAAGTAAATAATATCGGATAGTTAATAGAAAATGGAGCAATGGTAAGTATAAATGTGACCTGATAATGTGTTGATAATCTGGAGGGAAAGGGTCTGCGATGTGACTGCGAGGAGAGTTTCCGAGATGGTAAGCAAGTAAATACAGTAGAAAATGCAACGGAGACGATTTAAGTATTGGTTATGTTAATGATGACGATGTTAATGATAAAAGCTCAGCATAAAGCAGCAATTAAAAAATACATTTGGCGTTCCAGCGGAAAATGAGCATGAGAAAGTGGGATTGACCTCGACACGGCAGAGAGGTGAACAGATTCTCCATAGCGGGGGAAGGGGAGGGGAGGGGGGGAAAGGGGGCAAAAGGAGGGGGAGGGGGAGAGGGGGTAAAGGCGCGGCGTCAGCGTCCTTCGAGCAATTGGGTCAAAGTCGGCCGAGTGGAGGTCACGCGGTCCCGAATTTTCGTAGGGGTCAGCTTCCTCGTTATTCGTCAGGGGAGGGTGAAGGTGAGGGTGAGGGTGAAGGGGAGGGTGAGAAGGGTGGGCGAGGGGGAGTGAATGGATGACGCTCGACAGGCGGTCAGCGCGAAGGGAGAAGTCCTGTAGATCCCACATTCTTACTAGATTCTCCGCTTTGACGTATAAATCACTTCCTATCACCGTGTCTCGAACGGGGAACGTACCCGCATTCAACCCGGGGAAGGGAGGCACTCGCGAAGCGGGCGAGCGGCTGCACGACTACTTTCGACTTTCGCCCGAGCGGACGCGCCGGATTCCAAATGAGGACGATCGGCGTGCGAGGGATTCGGGCGGTGGAAGTGCGAGATCGACCGACGTCCGTCGACGAGAGACTACGGAAATGCCGACTCGGTCGCCGGGGATTCTCGCGAGGCTTTTTCTTCGGGACGGGGTCGTCGCCCACCTCCGGCCGCAGACTCATCCGTCAAATGCCAATTGGACGGAATCAACCACGAAAACCGATCGAGCGATAACAAACTCACAAGGTTGGGGGAGGGGGGGGGGGGGGCGGATGAAACGTGTCGTGCCTTCCAGAATCGGTTGGACCGTTCGGAATTCCCGCATGTTTAATGGTTGCGTAGGACGCGGGGGAAAACCCCGATTTTTTCGATAGTTCAGGAATTCCGCGTTCCAGGAAAGCAGATGAATAGATTTCGACGAGAATTTCGATTCAGGGGTCCGGGACGCCGACGGTGGCTCGCGACTCGTCATCGCCGAAAGCGGCCGACCGGTCGTCATCGAGGGTCGCTAACGACCCGTCGTCTTTGGGGGTGGCTCGTCGTCGCATCGCATACTAAATGCTACGGAACGGACGAGCTGCCAATTAATCATGAAAGATGGGCTCGGTTCGTCTCGTTTCCACTTTCACTCAGTAAATGCCGTTCTGACGTCACGATCCCAGTGCGATGCCTAGCACACTCCATACTATTTTTCATATTTACGCTTCTTGCATACTTTTCATGCTTTCTGCAAGCAATTGGCGGGCTTCAAGGTCATTCCTGCACCTAATACAATTGCACACTCGTCGAGTGTGGATGCTTTGTATTTTCGGTTCTGTTTCAAGAATTCTGCTGATACCTGTTAAATAAATGTTCTTCAGCCGTACTCCCGTAGATCCTTGCTCGTTATCGCACTCATCCTTGCAGGGATAAGTGACAGGATTATCCGGGAGTTCCAAGTCACTTTTAAACGAGAAAATACATTTTAAAAAAAACACTTGAATCGATGCGCAGCGCATAACGGGCTGACGGGTTAGAGCTTACCGCTCACTTAAGCTCACAAAGCAGCGGATGGAAGGAGCTGAAAGTCCTACCAAAATTTCCCTCAGGTTTCCCCCAAAAAACTTCATCATGTTAATCGTGCGCTATTGGCGCCATCTGTCGCCACTCTTCGCGGACTCGAGAAGCCCACGTGACCAGTATCGGTGCTTCCGTCAATTGGCTTGCGTCGTTCACTGCCATTCATCGTTGAAATTTTCGATTTCGTGATTTCAAGAGAGGATTTTGGCGTGCGATCGAGGCTCTTCGTTTTCACGATCCTGCAGATACGGTCGCCTATGCTTACAGTGCTTTTCTTTATTGGCCCTTCATGGGCATAAAAGATGAGGCAATTAACCTGACGCAATCGAGATGAAATCACCTTCGGTTAACTTTAGGGGATTTACTTTCCAGTGATCTTGGCTGAACCACCCCAAAGTTTCCCTTCAATTCAAAAAGTGTTGGAAAATATTGGGAGGTAATTGTGTCTGCATGAGTTAAGGGTGGAAATAAAAGACAAAATGGGTCCAAGTTTTTGTAAACTGTATTTCATGATAAACAGTTTTTTTCTTCGACTGGAAATCGGTTTCCTCTTCAATAGTCCATTCTTATTTTTACATAAACGAATAAATAAAAATCTTAGGCCAAGGTCAACAGGCATCGAGAGGTGCGGGACGCTCCGAGACAACAGAGAATAATGTACAAGAAGCCAGGAGGAAAAGTAAAAAAAAAAAAGAAAAGAAAAAGGCATCAATTAATAATTACCCAGCATCTGATAGCCACCAACGAGTGAATTTCTCATAGACTCTGCCCACAAAATCCTCTCTGCTTTGCCCAGTAGGGAACATCACAACTGACATTGCCTGACTCTGTACATCAACTCACTTCTTATTGCTCCTCGTGCCAAAAAGGAAGAAGTAACGAAAAGACGGGGAAAGGCTCGCGAATGGCAAGAAAGCGGTGATGACGAGAACCGACGAGAGAGAGAGAGAGAGAACACCACCAAGATCAGTCGTTCGACCTTTGGACCTCAAAAATAAATCCATAAAAAAGACAAGAGCATATTATTAAATTAAAAATGTCACCACAAACAAAAAAAATACCAGGGAATACAGTTTTACACAAGAGCTGCAGCGGAAAAAAAAAAGCAAACGACACCGCCACGACCGTCGAGTGGCATCGGCCTCTGCAACGTATGTACAATGGAACGAGCAGACGACGGGGAGGGGGGAACCGAGTCGTACCATGCATCTTCGATTTTTGGAACCTAACTGACTACCACACACATATGGGTAACTCAAAAAATAAAAAAAAATTCATTTTCAAAATCCAGAATCATTATAGAAAAAACTACACATATCCCTAACTCTGTCATCCATATAAAACATATAGGCCTCACATGTTTCATCATTAATTCCTTATCATATATATATATTTTTGTTTGCATTGCAAAACGTTTGCAAAAAAAGTCCCACTTCGTTCTCGTCGTCAATGCGGTCGGGCGAATCGATGGGTTTCTCTTTGTACTCGCCAAGCGGAGGATTCCCTCTCGGTCTTTGTGTTTTACTCGTTTGTTTTGTGTTTTTCTTTCCTTTTTGAGGAGTCTCTATCACAGGAAAAGACAGGAGCGAGTGGCAGACGGAAGGAGAGGAGGGGCCAGGGGTAAAGGCAGAGAAGGGAGAGACTAGAGGAGGTTTGCAACACTGTTGTGCATGTGGACCAGGACCTGCATGTGGATCGGGAGACACGATCGGCGGTCGTTCTTCGCCGTGTCCAGCGACAGCCACGACAGTCCGTTGTAGCCCTCCAGCACGAACCTGGAATCATCGTTAGACCGAACTTGAAAACAATTTTTTTCTTTACAAAATGCTATATAGTGGAGGGTAAAATTTGAATACACTTCATAATATGACCAGAAGTGAGCACTTCCATCCCAGTTTTTAAGACTGAAACCATCCTTACCGCCATTCACTTAACTTCAGTTATTAGACCTTCCTCGTGTTGATTGGCTGCAGCCACTCCTTTGTAAGTTTCATCATACAAAAATGATGCTAAGTCCACAAAATAATTTCACAGTTTGAAAAAATTGGAACTTCCCCAATAGCAGGTTATTACTATGCACAATGTACAGCATTTACAGCAGATGCAGAATATCTTCATTTCCATTGCAAAAACATGCTTTCAGTTCGCTTCCAACTCAAGATGTTCCCATCACTGACTTAATTCTTCTACAGGTGGTAGAGCAAACTAAATGCAAATTAATATTAAATTACAAAGCACACATAACGATAACTTCAAGCTCTAAGCACATCAGGTTTGGAGCATGAAGTGAAGATGGAAATTAAAATTTTGAGGGAACCATGGGATGAATTGAATAATGATATCATTCAGAGGTTTATCATAACATTCCATTTTTTCTCTTAAGGGATGGGGGCTCCAGGAAGAAGGGACTGATAGCAGTCGGACCAACCTGAGGACGTCGGTCGTCTTGTCGGAGTCGAGCGGGTGGACCTTGGAACCGGAGGGATTCGGAGGCAGAATGAAGTCGTTGTCCCCACCCTGGCCGTCTCCCGTCATGTGGGAATGGAGGTGAAGGGCAGCCTTGAGGAATGTTGTACCATTGGGGGAGCCCTGGTTCAGGAAAGGTGGGGCCCGGTGGGGGCACGAGGCCCAGAACCACTTCGGAAGGACTCCCAACGGGGCCGTGCTCACATAGTAGCCCAGGGCCAAGGGCTGCTGGTGAAGCACCTCCAGCTCCTCCTGAGGATCTGCAGCCAGTGAGCTCAGGATGTTCTGTGGAGAATCACCAAATTTCAAAATGCAGTCACAGATTCAGTCTGAATAGATTCCTTAGCTTACAAAATAATGCAAGTAATTAATAAACACTCCAGAATCTGGCTTCAAGTCTTGAACAGTACTTGTGCTATATAAAATGTAATCACTATTTCTTTAAGGCCATTTTCATTCAATGGGTTGATTACTTTTCATGAGCTTATCATAACTTGCATTACAGCTCAATAACTTTCACTGACCCTCTGTATCCCGCCAGGGAAGGGCGAGTTGTGATCCATGCCGAGCCCGGCCCCGAGCGGAGAGCCCTGACCGTGAGGCGAGGCCAGCCCCGTCCCACGTGGGCTGCCTCCGACAGGCGACGTTATGCCCCCGAGGATGTCGGTGTTGGGATCGTTGCCGAACAGCTCGTCGATCTCGTCGATGTTGATCCCTTCGAAGATGGTGTCATTGTCAACAAATGTCTCCTGCATCTCCATGTGCTTCTCTTGGAAGATCGCTTGTGAAGACTAAGGGAGTCCAAAAAAGAAAAAGGATGTTGGCATTGAGGGAGACAGGTTGAGCCACATCATGGGTCTGACTTCAAACTAAAAGTTGTGCAGGAAATTCCATGATGAACATCAGAATAAGAAGTCAGCACTAAGTGAAAGAAAGCAAATTTCTTCTATGAAGCTAGTTTTGCCAAATACTGCTACTCTCATATAGACAAATCTGTGCATGTTGATGAAGATGGTAAGTTCAGTTTTGCTTGAGATTTCTTCCCTTTCCAAATGCTGTCTGGAAAGTGGAAACTGTACCATTCTGAACCAAAAGTAATTAAGAGTATGAATGTAAAGAGCATTAACTTATTAAACTTCAAGTATTACATATTTTTATTTTTTTATTACCAAATTGAGAAAGACCAAGTTTGAGGCATTCCTGACAATGAGTCATGTGTCCCATGGCTAAGGAAAAGGCAATAACTAGCTTCATGGGAAAAGAAAATCTTTAGCAGTGATCAGCATTCAAGTGTTGAAAGGAATCTCTCACCTGAGTGGTGGCAGAGGTTGGGAAGACGAGAATGTGTGTGCAGGAGACATCTTGTGGTGTGGAGAGATGAGAACGGGAGGAACTCGAGTTCCCGCCGAAGCGCTCGTCTGGTGTGAACTGATCTGGCATCATGCGGTGGGATGAGTCCGGCTCCATGGACACAAAGCAGGCGGATACCAGCGCCAGGGTCTCGGAGGAGGGCAGGCACCGGCACTGGCTGCACATCTGCTTCAGCTGCCGGCTGTGCCGTTGGAGTGACTTGCGGCCAAGGAGCGAGCTCCAGCTCTTGAGCTCGCCGTGCCCGACGCGTCCAAGCCGACCAACAACCAGACGCCATGGGTGCACGCCGTCGGACATCACTGACAGGATGAAGTCCATCAGCTTCTGCAAGCCCATGCGACGTGCCGATGCCTTTCGTCTTCGACTCCTGAAGAGAGGAATGAGATGTTAGATTCCCAACTGCACGTTACCGTTTCCATGGTTCATCCTGACACTAGGAGAACTTCAACTGAATTCTTTCACTGTGTCCCTGAAGTGTATGTAATTGATACAAGTGACTGGGTGTGGGGGCGGAAAATTAAACAAACTTAGAATCAGAATCATCAAAGCCCAGATCCATATTAACACACCAGATCCACCAGAAGGGGGGGAGGGGGGGGGGGGGAAGAGAAAAAAAATAATGCAATGAGAAACTGTATTTTAGCAAAATGAGATAAATTTGCAAGCTGGAGACAGAAGCTATTAACAAAGACTAAAGATAAGCAACCTTTGTCACTGATGGCTCAAAGAAACAAAATTGGTTGAAGACATTTTGCAGTGCATTTATAGCATATGACATGAGAGCTTCGTGGATTTTCTGCATGGTATGATGATGCTTGAAAGCCAGTGCAACCCATATTAACACCAAGGCAACTGATGCCATAGCAGTCCATTGCACATGTCATGATCAACCAGGAAATGAATATCTATGGAGAATGTTTAACTACTCTCTGATGAAGAATTTTAGGATGAATCAAGGAATGATCAGAAACAACTTCTAAAGGAGGGCAATTTGATGCCTCTGCATGATGCAAGTTTTTATGCAATCATGGCCTTATCCCCTGATGTTGATGCAATTGCTTTACCTAAATGGAATGTTGATGTTGATCATGGTGGTTTCAAGAAGCTCGCCACGGTCGTCGGTGGCAGCCGCCAGGAGCCATTTCTGGTCCTCACTTAAACAGTAGGAGACAAACAGAACCCAGGAGCGATCGTTCGGGAGTTTGCTCGTCAGCGAGTCTCCGGTCTCCTTGCTCTTCTCCTTGATGGGAGCCAGGATGTACGGCGGGTTGTACTTGGGACGGCTCAGTCGCAGCTTCTCCTGCCCGGGGAAACGCCATCCCACGTCAATTGAGAATTTGGTTGGCTGGACTGATGGAAGTGTCGAGTTGATGCCTACATCTTTGGCTTTGAGGAGGTTGTCGGTGGAAGCGGCGGGTCCGAAGCCGGTCAGGGATTTGATGGCGGTCATTTGGCTCATGTGCGGCCGTGTCTGCGAGAACACTGAGAAAGCCAGTCCCTTGAGGAGCTGGTTGTGGGAACTACCCCGCATCTGCGGGTCCTCCGTCACTCCGAGGATCTTCTCCAATGGAATGATCTGTAAAGGTCAGACTTTGATGCTGAAAGCCACCCAAGAATTGAACAACCAAATTGAGGTACAACTCCAATGATTACATATCTCAACTGGAACTGGTTCCTGAGAAATCACTCAAGAATTTCCGATCGAAACAAAACACAACAGATTCACAACAGTCGATCCTATGGCCTCTGCCTCACTCCAATGATTGGCCCAATACACCCATAATCCATATCACCCTCAATTGACCAATGGATGAACCACTGACCTGAAGGTAGATGTTGGACTGCATATGCTCGGGCAGTTGCCGGACGATGAGCTGGAAGCAACGGAACAGGGCGATGGCGACGAGACGATGGAGCTCGATCTGGGGCGGAGACGGACGACCCGGCATCACCCCGGACGACCCCGACCCCATCGCATAGGTGAAAGGGTCTATCATGTATATCACCAATCCTGGAGGGTGGGAATCCTCTTCCTCGGGCGACTCGGAGGCTCCCCGTTCCTCCTTCTCGATTCGATTCCCATCGTCTGATGCTTCTGGCTTGGGTGTCCCAGGCTAAAATAGCAATACCACATATGAAAACAACTACAACTATAAATACTAATTCGACTCCAGCTGATCTCTATGAGGAAATGCAACCAGAAATTGAAAGCTAAATACAAAGTCAAAATAAACACAAGGACTTAGGTTGAACAAATCCTAAAAACTGGGCATCTTAATGTGAAAAATGAATCCATCCAACAATTCCCCCACTAAAATCATAGAAATCCATGCAGCAAGGATCTGGACAGATCATGCTCAGTCTGATAAAGAAACACCATATGCTACAGCATTTTGGCAAAGGTTAGAGCATGAAAAGCAAACCTTGTCAATATTCTCTGGAGTTGGAGGTGGTGGCATGGGCCCAGGAGAAGGCTGGGGTCGATCCATGGCGGGTCGAGGGGGACCGGCATTCGCAGTCGCTTCCCCCTCGAGAAGACTGGAATCCAACGACTGAGTGGCAAGGAGTGGTGCAAGGTTATGCTTGCAAGCCTGCATGAGAAGAGAGAAATTCATCTTTGTTATGACCTCATGAAATTCCATAAACATGAACAATGCACGCTATCACAATCTAGGAACAATACCTTAGCTGCCAAAGGTTGAAACAGACAACTTTTAAAATACTACCTTCATGTCACCAGTGTTGGAGGTTTGGGACATATTCTCCTTGAAAGATCAATCAAGTAATTTTCTAAGAAAGTATCAAGCTGCTTCAACTCCTTTAATGCAAGACTTCAAGAGTCAAGGAACTCAACTGTCAATACCATGACTTAATTGCTACATTTGAAAAAAAGTGTCCTACACATAACTAAAGAAGCAGGTTGTAAATGCAGCTGAGGGATGAGATGAGATCGGACGAACCTGTGCATAAAGACGGAGGTGGGTGGCGAGTTGACTGTCACCAAGAGTGGCAAACCACTCGTCCTCCGGTTCGCTGGCAAGCTGAGCCACCGTCTTCTTTCCAACGCGGAGGATACCGTCACGGAGGCAGCTCACAATCGGGCACAGCTTACCCAGCCGGCACAGCTGGTACATGCTGCTCAGCTCCCGGAAGAAGGTCAATGTGCGGGAGATGACGGCAGAGTTGTCCGGGGACACGACGACGTAGACGATGTCTCGAGGCGACGAGTACGGCTCGAGGAGCATGTGCTCCCAGAAGCGCAGGCTCAGCGGCGACAATGTCAGCCAGTCTTTGTCGTGACCAATGAGCAGTGAAGGAATCGGTTGTGGCTCACACTGATCTTCGGTTCCTGTTCAAAGCATTTTAGGAGTATTAGCATGAGCAAAGGGGTAAGCAATCAAACACCAAGATGAGGCATTCATGCTAATGGGTTCTTATTCATTTGGGAATTTCAATTCAGATTTAATGACAATTTTGAGGTAAATCAAGTACAAATTCCCTCCAATAAAAAATAGGACAGAAACATTCATGGTAAAAGGGCCTCTCAATAGTGAACACTACATGATGTAGCAGTCAGAGCATTCAACATGGTGAATATGATTTACAACTTATTCTTATTTTACAGAAATGATGATATCACAACTCCCATTCTACATGTTCAAGATACAACCACCAATGATACTGCAAGACCTCATTCAAAATGATACTGAAGGCTGTTATTTCTTACTTATGGAAGTGAAACAGAAGCACCAACTCAAAAACAATCAACCTTTGGAATAGGTGGAATATCATATATTTGGAAGCACAGAGAGGCACAAGACACAAACTACATAACTATCCCTCATACAAGTTCAGCAAGAATGCTCCAAAGTTACCTATGAACTTATGTTACCTCATACTGAGACAAAATGAGTTTGAAAAATTCCCTACCATTACCACTGACTCCCAATTGCAAGGCAGGCATAACAGCTGTTGAGCAATATCTCAAAGAATGAACAAAACCATAGATGAGTTACAAATGAATCTGATCTCAGCTAAGTCTGCAGACAGAATGAACTAGTTATTCTAAGGGCAACAAGAATGCCACATCACTGGCCAGGCATGCTGTAGATTAATAACTGACCTCTACCAGCAAGTCGATGGAGCTGTCTCCACGTGAGAGGCCCTGAGACGTTGTAGGTGGCCTCCCACAGACGGACAGTCCTCTTCTTCTGGATGGCATCCTGGAGGAGAGGCTGGAGGGATTTCATCACGCGCACTATCTCGTAGTTCGTCGACGGTCCGGGATAGTGGAGGAAGCCCCAGTGGTGGACGACGAGGCCGGGGGGCTTCGACGGCGGGTGCGGGTGGTGCGGATGGAGGTAGGCCTGCTTCGCCTGCTCCAGGGCCGCATGGACCACCTCGCTTGCATCCCGCAACTCCACCAGGTTCATCCGCTGCGTCGGGGAGCTCTCGTACAACGAACACATCCCGACGATCAAGCTGAATGGGTTCTGCAGGATCTGGCACTGGTGATTCAACAATTGCACCACTGATTCTGGAACATTGTCCAGCACTTTAAGGTCCCGTTCACTGGGTGGGCGCTGCAGGTGACTCTGTCCTGCAGCGGCGAGGAGCACCAACACCAACGAGGGCCGGCCGCGATCGTACGCAGAGTCCTCTCTCAGACCCGTCATGTCCACCTCGTCCTCGTAAAAGAGTCCCGAACCGTGTGCACGGCGTCGGTTCACTACGGCACTGTAACCGCAGAGACACCGATCTCCGCCGTCGTCCCCATCGGAGTCGGAATACATGCCCAGCGGGGCACCGGGCGTGTTCCGCACCGAGTCCGGGAGGTAGAGGTTCCCGTCGCCTCCCTTCAGGTTCCCGACGACATTGGACCCTGCATTGCACACGCACAGGGTGCAACTGTCGAAGTTGTGGTCCCGGAAGAGGTTGAGGAGCGAGTCGTACAGGATGAGATTGAGGAGGAGGGAGTGGGCTTGGGGTTGGTGAAACATTGGCGGAGGCTGGTGACCTCCCATCATGTGGGGGTGTGGCCTCGGGTGGTAGGGCGGGAGCATGTGCTGGTGGGGGTGCCCACCAGAGCCAAGTGGGGGTTCCACTGAGTGGTTGCCTTTGAGGTAGGGGGACATTGCAGCTCCCGGGCTAGGACCAGCCGAACCGGGACCAGATCTGATAGAACTGGAAAATAAAAAATGTGATATTTTGAGGGTTCTTAATTGCTCTAAAAACTTTGAATGGTGACTATAATTCATACATGAAAAATAGAAACTTAGATAAAAGAAACAACCATACCTGTAGGAAGGCGGGTTGTCGGTGTAGTGCAAGGACGTGGGAGCGGGAGAAATCGGGGACAACCCAGGCCGATGGAAGATTTGACCTCCTGCACCACCCAACATGCTATTCATGTGACTGCAGAAGCAAAAACAAAACATGCCAACATTAACAAAATTGTTGGAGATGATCTTCTGAACAGCTGGAGCAACGGCTTACCTGCTGGGGATGTGCTTCTCAATGAGAGGCATGCTAGGATACTGGGGGGGCATGGGGTTCATGGGTGGGCTGGGACGATAGGTCATCTCGAAATCGGGTGCGATCTTCAGAGGGGGTAGTTTCTGGCTGGGGAGCAAGGCCAGCGGGGCGTACTTGACGGATCCCACCATGACGGCCACGGTCGAGAGGCCGTAGACGGGGCTCAGTCGTATCGCCGCTTCCGCGCCCGAGGGGCTCTGCTCGACGTGCATGGGCTCGGGCCTGTGGTGGATCGTCGCCTGGACGCTCCCGTTGGACATGACCATGATGGTCTCGCGCCCCATCTCTCCGCTGTAGGTGTCCAGGGACAGGGAGCTGATCTCCGGGGCAGAACAAGGCGAGAGAGTGGTGTTGTGCTCGTGGGACGGGGGAGTCGGAAACATCTTGGACAGCTCCGCCGGGCAATGGATCGAGGAGGAGGGATTCGTCACCAGACTCGACGGGGTCGTCTTCTGGGGGCGCAGCGACGTGTCCGGGAAGAGCAAGGGGGGCTCATTGGAGCCAGGTGGTGTGGGCACCTGGAGCTGCAGAAAAACAAGCAAAGCTAACAGTAAATACATATTCTGCTAACTTGGGTATTCCACAATATTTTGGATATCTAACAAGTCAGTCTCATAATTCAATGTGCATCAAATACGTTACAAAATTACTTTAGCATGCAGGAATTTGCATTTTACATTCTCCAAGTTGCCCCAAGTATTTGCCACAAATAAATTTCATTCAATCACAGACATCAGTCAGAAGAGTTGATAAACAATAGAAACTGAAAGATATTGCATTTGATGGCGTGCTACAGATACCACTCACATTCTAAACCCTAAGATCATTTCTCTAAATCGCGAGAGACGACACGAAGGATGCGACGAAACGTACGGTCTCGTCGCCGGAATTGTCGTCGTCAAACATGTGGTCCAGATCCGACATGGAGGGCTCGAGGCCTTTGGACGTGAAGAGGTTCCCCGATGGGGGTTTGCTCTTTGGGGGTGCCGGAGACAATGCGTTGGGAATTCCTCCCTCGAACAGATTACCAGGGCACTCCTCCTGCAAGAGCATCAGTATTAATCACAATTAATTTCAACTGAATTGATGCACAAAGGGAAGCCTTAGGCATCAGGTTTAGCATGTTATTGCATTGCAGAAATGTTCACAGTCCCAATTCCCTTGGGACACAAAGACTAATATGCATGGGTGCAATATTTTTTGCACTTAATGTAAATACAAGATGGCAGAGAAAAAAAGCTCAGAGTTTTCATCAGCACGTACTTCGCGTCGACGAAAAACACGTACCTTGGGATTCCGACCGAATCCATCCATGCTGACGTGCGCTTCCGTGTCGTCGTCGAAGGCATACGGATCGCGCTTCAGGAATCCTCCTCCCTGAAATCCAAAACAAAAGCAGGTGATGAAAATCATCAGAGGAGGGGAGCTCGAGACCGGGGGAGATGGCTCGTACGAGGTCCTGGCCGGTGCGGTCCTGGGAGTCCGGACCGCCCTCCGTCGTGCCGCCCTGGGACTCCCCGTCCTGGGACCCCCCGGGGTCGTCCGATCCCGACTGCGAGGCGTAGCTCGGCCTGGGGAGGTCCAGCACGGACCGGGGCTCGTGTCTTTTCACTGGGAGGTTGGCCCTATGTAGCAACACAGAAGGAATGCACAGGTCAATCCAATAATTTCCTTTCGTGCCGGGCATCCTCGTCGCATTCGAGCCGACGGCACCGAGTCGGACTGTAGGAACTTACATATGGTGTGATAAAACTTAGATATGAAAACATCGGTTAACCATGATTTACGTTTAATCCCGTGAAATACACACTCTACTCACAGCTTATGAAACAATTCAACAGCTAATATGACTTGATGTGACACATGCAGTAAACATAGATCAAATTCAATATCGATGTGATGAAGAATATGAACTGGATACAGGATTTTTAAAATGACAATTGCATCTGAGCGCTTGTATCAGTCAGCAAGGCCCAGACCAATCACGATATATGCAGTCCAGCCTAACGCAGTCCCAAAGATCAGCATCAGCACTTCATTACATTCCAAGATCAAAAAACCAAATACAAAACTCATCTCACCAGGCCTGAACGAGGGAATAATCGTAGAAGGACTCGCAGGCCAACTCTTCCTTAGCACCCTGGAACTCGTACTCGTTGACGGGGAGGTGCGGCCTGGCCAGCGCCGCAGCAGTCGTCGCGCTTCCACCCGAACTCGTTCCCGTGCCCGAAGAACCCCGAGGCGGAGGGACGACGGTCGAGCCGTCGACCGCCGCGTTCTGAGATTCCCACGATGAACTCTCCTTCTCCTTTTCCTGGGAAAGCACCTTCCATGATCGAAAGGGAACGATTCACGACAGCGTGGCCGAAACGAGTCGGGACGGATCGGAGACCTGGTTCGAAGCGGGGGGCTTGAGATCCATGGGAACAGACGACGCGGGATCCGGATGAGCGGCGGCGAGAGCGGACGCGGACGACGAAGACGGGGGGTTGGGGTTCAGCGGCGGGGCGCTGCCGGGCGGGTTCGAAGGCGTCGGCGGTGAGGTCTTCCCGAGGGGTACGCCCTCCGAGAGGGGGGGCTCCGGGACCGAGTGGAGCAGGGGGTGTGGGCTCAGTGTCGGCATCATACCCTCTCCTGGAGCAAAGTCAAAGTGAATAAAAATTTAAGACAAATAAATATGGTAGAAAATCAATTTTAAAAAAATATTTGCCAGTATTTGCTGCCCCAGATCCTGATGAAGAAACCGTATTACTCAAGAAGTACCTTAAAAATATCCAATATCATGCAAAACAATTTTGAAAACTTGTACCCACTAGATGGAAATCTGGATTTGCCAAAAATGTCCATTCAAAGGTATTCAAACACTTCGTCACTGCATTCTGAACTGAAACCCCTCATTTAGATGCTATCAAAGCAACTGCAACAGGAATTTAACGTTCATCCTTGCCGAGTTAAAAATTTGGCTTTCACATTGAGGATTCAAAGAAACCAACACAAGGATCATCATCCTAGAAAGAAAACAACAACCCACCCTTCGCGTCGTGCAGCCACCATCCCAACTCTCGACAAAATCATCCCATTACAGCGCTCAGAACTCGGGCAACTCACCGACGTTGGAAACAGACGGCGGTTGACTGTGGTGGGAGTGCGGGGTCGGGAGCGGCGAGGGCCCGACGGAGCCCGGTGACCCCACCGACCCCATCCCCCGGAGACCCGAGACGGACCCGGGCGTCCCCACCTTGTACCCCGCATAAGGCGTGGGGACCCCCCCGCCCCCGCTGCACGGTCCGGGCGTGGCCAGACCCACCGGCGGCATCATGGACCCCGCCCCCTGCGAGGGAGGCCCCGACCCGGACCGATGAGGAGCGGACAGCATCTCCGAGTCCAGCATGAAGGCGGCCGGTCCCAGCTCCTCCCCCTGTGGGGGCGCTCGCTGCTGGTGGAAGGAGGAACCGGATCCGAACTTCTTGGACGACGTCCGCTCTCCGGCCTTCCGGGAGACGCCGGAGCCGACGTGAGACGTCCGGCCCAGCTTCCCCAGGCGACGGCATCTGGATCGAGACGTGCAAATCATTCAAAATCTTTTCACCTAGAAGTTGGTCTGACTCGAATCACTCGACACGTGTTCCGCGATGCAAAAGGGCTTCTTTGCCCGACTGCATCATAAAGCGACACGAAACACCGACCATCTCGATAAACGCTCGCTAAATGCAACACCGAAAGACGAGACTTAAAATTTCAGAAGCGAACGAGTTCCTCCTGAAGCAACACGAACATCAACTCGCGAGGCTCTGTACCCAAACGAGGCTCTCTACACGAACGAACACAAACTCTAAAACCGACTCACTTCGAGAAGGAACACGACGGCCGCGTCTGATGCACCTCGGCGAACTCCCAGTTCCCCGCCGAATCCGACCCGTTCCCCTGCCCGCTCCCCTCCCCGTCCCCCTCCCCGTTGCCGCAGCCGCCCGACGCGTGCACCGGCGCGAAGGGCGTCCCTCCGCTCACGCAGCCGTCCTGCCACACCCGGCTCTCCAGCGGGTGCTTGTTCCCGGCCGTCACCTCGTTCCCTGTGGGGTCCAAAAATGTTCTTTAGCACCGGCACGTTCTGCCGAATTTCGGCATCGAACACCTCGATGCGCTTTCCATCACACCACCAAACAAACTCCCTCCAACTAACACAACATCAACTCGTTCTTTCTTTCGAATCCCAACTTTTTGTCAGCAACTACAGTCGAGACAGTGCATTCGGGCCTTTACCATCGATGAGCGGCTTGAGCGATCGACGCGAAGATATCGCATGGGAGTGCTGGTGGGACCCGGCAGACCCACCGGGCTGGAGGAGACTCTGCATCCCGGGGGTTTCGTCCATCTCCGTCAGGAGGACGTACCGCGTCGGGTACTTCATCCGCACGCCGTCTGCAAAGAAGGGGAGACGATGAAAACATCTCTGCACGAACAACCACCCGAACGCCTCGGTAGAGCAAACGCTTTCAGACTGGTCACAAGGTGGCATTTCTGGGTCAAAAGGAAAGGCCTCGAGCTTGCAAATCGGTAACTCCCGTTAACTAACATCACACTAACCACAGGAATACATCACGAGTCTAACGATCCACTCCCCCATATCTCTGCGACTCGATGAGACCCCCATCCCAACACACCGTCAACGACCACAGACACACCTCCCACGTGAACCCAGAAACACCAGAGACGGCACTCGAAATGGACAGGTGGAGCTTACCGAGCACGACTTCCACCACGGGCGGCAGGGGCTCGGACGCCACCCCCCTCTTCCCCTCCTCCAGTCCCAGCCGGTTCTCCTTGTCCCACGAGGACACCAGGTCCGGCCCGGCCGGGCCCCGCTTCCCCTTCTCCGCCCCGCACTCCCCCAGCGGATAGAACTTCCTCCAGTCCTCCACCAGCTGCTGCACCCCCTGGTCCCCCACCTGGTACGCCTGCCCCGACAGCGTCCCCGCCAGACCGTTCGGCGCCAGGATCACTGCAAGAAAAACCCAGACCCCCAATGACCTCCCGTCGCCTTCCCCTCCCCCTCCCCCTCCCCCCCACCGAGCAAACCCTCACCGTGGACGTTCTGCGACGCCTCCGCCGCCTGCAGATACTGCCTGTTGAGCCAATGGACGGGCGGGTGCTGCCTCACGTCCAGGGACGCACACACCGTGCTCTCCCCGTGGACGAAGAACGAGAACGAGAAGGACAGATGCACCGAGCTGCAAAAAAAAATAAAAATCCCACGTGGAAAACCCCCTCAAACCCGTTCGCACCACCGTCGTGAAGCAGGCCCGCCGATTAAACCCCCCCATTACTTCATTAAAACCTTCATCGCCGTATACTCAATTAGGCAATATTAATTTAATAACCGCCGCCAGCCTTTCCTCCTTTGAATTTCTCCACAAAGCCAACAATATCGCGGAGAGAATAAATAAAAATGAACGACCGCTCTCATTAAAAAAAAAAGGGGGGAAACGCACAAGAACAAAGGCAACATTCTTCGAATACATGCAACACAAAAAGACTTGTTTGTTATCTTTCGTTTATGGAAGCATGCCATAAAAGTGATTAATCGATTCGCGATTAAAATCTCTCAACGGATCAGCAGCACTGACAGAACCGATAACGACGAATCGTCAAAAACAACCATAAAAATCCGTCCAGCCAAAAAAAAAAAAAAAAAAAAAAAAAAAAGAACGAGTTCGGGTGGAAGCGCGACGACTGCTGCGGCGCTGGCCAGGCCGCACCTCCCCGTCAACGAGTACGAGTTCCAGGGTGCTAAGGAAGAGTTGGCCCCTCACAGTGAAAGTATACGGCATTTCAAATCACCAGAATTGTACATTCCGTCGACATATCCCTCCCACGCCGACGAGAAATCCAGAGAAAGAAAACGGGGTCCACTCTTGCTACATGACGGCGGGACCCCCGCGGTACGTAACGGTACCCATCGGTACTCGACGGTACCCGACGGTCCTCGATGCCCGACGAACCAAAGGCGGCTCGCAGGTGGCCCACCCCTTCCCTCACCCGGGTTCGACGAGGCAGTTTCTAAACGCTCATCGACCCGGTCGGGCTCATTCACGTCTCATGATCCCCTGCACGAACCGTCCCCCGATCCAGGTAAAACCCCTTTAATAAAATAACACGAGAGCTCTGCCTGCGCGGAGGGACCCCGACCCAGATAGCCGACAGCCCCAGATAGCTCATCGGACCCAGATGGCTGATCGGCCGCAAGCATCTCCACCCGTTCGCGCTTTCACGGCCCACCCTTTAAAACGATTTTTATTTTTATTTACTCGAATTTAAAATCCTTCCCCGAGCGACATCTCCATCCCCCACCGCCCGTTCCGGGAAAACTAGGTCACCGCGACGGCGGAGCGAGAAAGACGAGACTCCAGGAGGGAAAGAATGGAATCAAGGGCAGGTCGATACCCACACCCGAGAGAAGCGCCGCGCCGAATACTACACCGCGTAAAGCCACCAATGGCATGCAGCTTGTACAGATCAATGAGAAGCTCCCCCCCCTCCTGTTACATGCGTGGCGACAGGCCCCTTCCCCCCTGTTGCCTCCTCTGACCTCCTCCGACCTCGAACGAGGCTCGACCCAGAAGTGAAGGAGAACTGCGACGCAGCCGCCCGCCGTAACGAGGCCACGGCACCGCCGCCGGGGCGAACGGAATGGATGGCCGTCCGTGAAGCGGCACGTGAAAGGAGTACGAGGCTGGCATGCGAGCGAGCGCGTGAAGACGAAAGCGGCCGAGCGTGGGATTGCTCCATCCTCGCTTCTCGGCGGGCCCTTCGCACCCGTACGACCCGTCCCTCCCGAACGCCGTCCCGAACATGTGGGCCTCCGCGAGACGGTGTTGCCCGATCCGGAACTCACCTCTGATTCCCCTCCCCGGGCGAATGGGGCTGGACGAACCACTTCCCCAGGCGGACGAAGTCATGCGCCAGCAGGTTTCTGGAACGAAAAGAGAAAAAGTCATTCGTCGGTCCGAGTCGCAGGGTTGCCGTCTTAACGAGGGAACGGAGTCGGAACGTTGCCATTGCCATCGGTAACGCGGAAGAGTTCCCACGCCTGCCCTTAATTGCATCCGGATCCGGCCCTTTAAACGGGGAACGATCCCCACGAAACGAACCCGGCCGGGAGAAAGGCGCTACCCGGCGACCGACATGCAACCCGTCGTCGAACACCCACCTGGCATCCCCGTCGGCGATGCATATTATACCTGCAATTCGCATGGAACCTTCGTCGGGGGTCCGTCGAGGCCAACCGATTCGCAATACGGGACGTTTCCGTCCGTGGACCGGGCGGCACCAGCCGGCCTTGGCGAAAGACAGCGGCCGAGGGGGGATATCGGCTCCATCGCAGGTGCCACGTGCGAGGCCACGGGGGATCCGGCAACCCTGCCCGAGGTGCGTGTGCGTGATCGTCCGGGGATGTGGAAACCGCTTCCCTCGCACTGTTCGGTCTTCCCCTTCTCCCCGCCCTCTCTCTCTCTCTCTCTCTCCCGCTCCTCACTCCTCTTCCCGTGGATCCAGCCTGGATACTTGGGAAACCGTTGGAGCGCGGCCTCTCATCCGCCCGACCACTGTTCGAGATTCCTCGCCTCCGCTCCGGAGTACCTCCGTACGAGCCGCGCCACCACGGACCCGAGCGCCTCGACTCTCTCTCTGCTCTCGACTCTCCGTACCGATCGCTCTCTCCTTCGATTAACGCTCACGAATCCAAGACGGTCATTCTGCGCCTATCCTCGAACGCGTATCGGCGAACCGTCGAAAAATCTGCGTATCAGCCCTCCGACATTCGAACACGCTCTTCCGGCTTCCAATCGTTCTCTCTCTCGTCCCCATCTCGCATCCTCCCCTCTCCCATCCTCCGCGACATCTGCCACCGCCTCTGCCTCCCCATCCCCCCTCCCGAACCCTCGAGTTCAGAGACCCAGATCCGGCCGAACGAAAGAAGCAGCAAGAGCGAGGCAAAAACCGCGCGTGGTGCGATGACCTTCGTCGACAGCAAGGGGGGGGGGGGGACTTCCCCTGCTCCCTCGCTTTCACATACACTACACAGGTGTGTTCATTACCCCCCTTTTCCTCCTCGCCGCACGCGCCCCCCCCCCCCCCCACTCACACACACAAAATGGCCCCTCGCAACTACGTCACGACCCTCCATATCGGTCATGGGAACTCCTCGCGTCGCTCCACGTGCCACTTTATTTACGACGCTTCGACTCCGCGGCACGCGGCCTGAATAATTAATTTAAAAAAAATCGCGCAAGAACGTGAATTAAACGAGAGGGTTTCATCTCGCCAGGCCCGTCACCGGGCTCCTCGCCGGGCCCCTCGCGACTCCCAGCCGGTTCATTCATCCTCCACTCGAGAGCATCGACGAGAATTAACGTGCTACGCTCGCGACGATGACCGAATCGTTTCCCGTCGACGTCACCACTTTAATTTTTAATCTAATTAAAAATTATAATAAATTCCATTAAATGTATTGAGTGTAATTAAAACTCAGACTCGGAATAAATTTAAAGAGTAAATTTACATTCGTGATGAAATCCACTTTGGAGAATGACGACGGGAAACCGGAGCGCCCCTCCACGCCCTCACGAAAGACGCGGCACGACCGAAATCCCCCCCCCCCCCATGCCACGACCTAAATCCCTCGCGGCACGACCGAAATCCCCACCATCGACGACCCCTCGACTGCGAAAAAGCCCCTTCCCATCGAGAGGGGGGACTCAATCTCGACGGGACATCTCAATGACAAAATCACCGTTTGAAAAAAAAAATGCAGCAAATAATTAAAATAAAAAATATAAATAAAAAACTTGAAAAATATAAAACTGGAAAAGGAAAAGCGCGGTGAACTCACTTCTCGATGAGATTATGCAGCGCCTTGAAGAGCAAGGAGCGGCACTCGTAGGACAGGCCTTGCTCCCACGACCCCTTTTCCCTCTCTGCAAAAAAATAAAATAAGAAATTAGGAAGGAAACAAGCACCGGTGGGGGAAGTGCGCACACGATCGCATCGACATAATTGATTCCATGTCGACGCGATTAGTTAGGAGGAGACGGGCGAAATTACGCGCGATCGGGCAAGTAAACATCCGCCTTAGGGGGGCGGAATTGGCACTAATCACGCCAATTTCCCCAGATTATCCCGGGGAGAGACGGAATGCGGGGGAGGCCGGAACGACACGTCCCCCACCATTACCTGGGAGCCACTCTCTTCTCGGGATGACTCCCGGGGGGGGAGACATCTCGTGCGAGGGAGGCATCCGTTGCAAAACGACGCGGCCGCCGATTAGCATAAATACGAGCCATGCGACAACCCGACAAGGGGGGACTCGCCCCAGCCGAACGTCGAGCGAATTCACGCCTTCGCGGGCACCTTCACGCCCTCGAGGGCGTCCCCGGGAATCCCCGCTAACGGACTCCGTCGGGAATTCCCTCCCCTCCCCTCCCTCCCCCCTCTCCTCGCATGCATCATCAGGCGACTGACGTGTTGTAAAAACAAGCTGGGAGGCGCACGAGGACGAGCAAGGCATAGAAAAGGGAAAATAGAAAAAAATAACTGGCGACCCGCCAGCCGGGACCCCGATTACGTCCCCGATCGGCAACCGATCCCCGATCCCCGTCCGCGCCTCTGTGACGCACTCGCGAACCACTTAGCACCCTTATCTCTCCTCCGAGCGTTTTTCCTTTTCTTTTTTTTTACACGCCCATGTTTATGTTTGTGGAACCGATTGTACTCGCTCGCTCCCACGCCACCGCGACCCACAAGGCAACCGCCTTCATCTATTTATAGTCTGACCGGATGAAGCAAAAAAAGAAAAAAAAAATAGACATGTTTAGCAACACCCAAATAGGCCGCCGAAGAAAAACTCCAAACAATTCCGAAAAAAAGAAAGAATTCACAAAAGCAAACCACCGGTTACCAGGAAACCGCCCGGCTCAACCCTCACCGGTCGCAAGAAAAAAAATTCAGGTTATTTATATGTGAAAACTCCCACAATTACCAAAATTAATGCACTTGAAATTCCGATCACAATAGAGGAAAGTGCGGAAAAAAATTATTTCAGAATTCTTTTCCCCGCACCCTAATCGAAGATAATTTGCTAAGCCACACCCACCGTTTAAGCCTACATTGATATCCTGCACATAAATCACCATCAAAATTACAAATGCCCTTAATAAACACAAAGCACAAACATCAAATTTTCCGAATATGCACGCAATCCAATGGATTTATTTTCTACTCAAGCATGGCAAATAAAGAAAATGTTGAACCCGTCCTCGCTTTCTCCTGTTTTTCTACCAAAATTAATTTCCATTATTATTATAAACATGAAATCTCTCCGCCAAATCTCTCATTCGCACACGCTTTCGAGATTCAGACGAAACGCGGAAAGAATTTAACCATTTTTTGGCCTTTCACAAAAGTCTGTAAACAGATTTTTGTGAAATTCACATTTCTTATATTTTTAATATGTTGAAATTGGATTTCTAACTTAAGAAGTTTGAGTGTATGGCTGATATAAAAGTTTATGATGCAGAAGTTCGTTGTGACCGAAACCCTTTAAATCCGAGTTAAAGTGATAAATATTTTATTTTTGCTAATTTTTACTTATTCACTCAAAGAATTCGGTTTAGGGCCAAAGTCCAACGTTCGCGGGGAAGCTTTCGGCAAATATGGCGCCAACCATTTTCTGCCAGGCCTCATTTTGACACCGCAATGAATGAATAAATTACGAGCATCAAATTACTCTTACATTATGCACCTCACCAGCACCATTCCCACTCAATCATTATAATTCCATTCACTCTTCTTTCTTTACATGCACAATGCGCGCATTTTATTTCATGCAACCTAATTTTCTAATACAACAAAACGGAATGCAAACACCCGCCAGATCACTTTCACCCAATTAAAAAAAATTACATACACATATACTTCAAGCAAATCCTGTTTCCAAAAATAAAAATATCTCTGTTGCGCATGACCCAAATCGAACGGAAGAACTCCATTCACGGGAATCGCATAAATAATAATGACGGCTTTCGAAAACAAGAAAATGGGTCAAATTGTACTACAGGAAACGTGCTTCAGTAAATTTCAAAAATTCATTTTTTTGAGCAAAAACTTCGAAAAATACAGGTTAGGCCACGAGAAATTATTACTACTTTTTGTTTAACTGCGGAAATTGGAAAGTGAGTGAGGAAACACGTATCATCACGTTTTCACAACACTGTAGATCTAATCACGTACAACTATTTACACCTAATGACTCGTTATCTGACCTTGGTACGGCAAAGGAAACGGGTCCTGCCGACTCCCATCAACACTTTCAACCCCATAAAAAAGGCAATGAAGCAAAAAAAACAAAAAAACAAAATAGACGTGCTTAGCAACACCCAAATAGGCCGCCGAAGAAAAACTCCAAACAGTCCCGAAAAAAAGAAAGAATTCACAAAAGCAAACCACCGGTTACCAGGAAACCGCCCGGCTCAACCCTCACCGGTCGCAAGAAAAAAAAATCAGGTTATTTATATGTGAAAACTCCCACAATTACCAAAATTAATGCACTTGGAATTCCGATCACAATAGAGGAAAGCGCAGAAAAAAATCTTTATTTCAGAATTCTTTTCCCCGCACTCTAATTGAAGATAATTTGCTAAGCCACACCCACCGTTTAAGCCTACATTGATAAGCCTGCACATAAATCACCATCAAAATTACAAATGCCCTTAATAAACACAAAGCACAAACATCAAACTTTGCGAATCATGCACGCAATCCAATGGATTTATTTTCTACTCAAGCATGGCAAATAAAGAAAATGTTGAACCCGTCCTCGCTTTCTCCTGTTTTTCCTCCAATTAATTTTCATTATTCTTATAAACATGAAATCTCTCCACCAAATCTCTCATTCGCACACGCTTTCGAGATTCAGACGAAACGCGGAAAGAATTTAACCATTTTTCGGTCTTAAACAGATTTTTGTGAAATTCACATTCCTGATATTTTTAATATTTTGAAATTGGATTTCTAATTTAAGAAGTTTGAGCGTATGGCTGATATAAAAGTTTATGATGCAGAAGTTCATTGTGACCGAAACCCTTTAAATCCGAGTTAAAGTGATAAATACTTTATTTTTGCTAATTTTTACTTATTCACTCAAAGAATTCGGTTTAAGGCCAAAGTCCAACGTTCGCGGGGAAGCTTTCGGCAAATATGGCGCCAACCACTTTCTGCCAGGCCTCATTTCGCACCGCAATGAATGAATAAATTACAAGCATCAAATTACTCTTAAATTATGCACCTCACCAGCACCACTCCCACTCAATCATTATAATTCCATTCACTCTTCCTTCTTCACATACACAATGCGCGCATTTTATTTCATGCAACCCAATTTTCTAATTCAACAAAACGGAATGCAAACACCCGCCAGAACACTTTCACCCAATTAAAAAAAATTACATACACATATACTTCAAGCAAATCCTGTTTCCAAAAATCAATCTCTGTTTCGCATGACCCAAATCGAACGGAAGAATTCCATTCACGGGAATCGCATAAATAATAATGACAGCTTTCGAAAACAAGAAAATGGGTCAAATTGTACTACAGGAAACGTGATTCCGTAAATTTTAAAAATGCATTTTTTTGAGCAAAAACTTAGAAAAATAAAGGTTAGGCCACGAGAAATTATTACTATTTTTTGTTTAACTGCGGAAGTTGGAAAGCGAGTGAGGAAACTCAAAACACGTATCATCACGTCTTCACAACACTGTAGATCTAATCACGTACAACTATTTACACCTAATGACTCGTTATCTGACCTTGGTACGGCAAAGGAAACGGGTCCTGCCGACTCCCATCAACACTTTCAACCCCATAAAAAAGGCAAGGCACCCCATGAAAAGAGACGAGGCATTGCAATTTTTTTTTTGCGACCGAAAATCGAGAAAGCAACGCCTAATAAATGCGTCTGCACGAGCAACGCCAGAGATTAAAATTCTAATCGGCCTCATAAAAAAAATTCCTAACGCAAGCAACAGCCGGAAGGAAATGACTCTCCGAGTGGCTTCTCTTACGAGAACGTCTGACGATCCGAAGGCCTCATCGCATCTGGATCCGAATGGGCTGGGATTAGAGGGGAGAGCTTTTCGTGTTCGCCCCGGCACGTTTCCTCAAATTACCCTGTATTAAGGGTCATCATGAAACACGTTTTGACGGCATGCGTATCATTTTGCCTCGCTCGCCACCCGACGACGCGAAGACTCCTAAAGGTCGAAATATTTACACCTCTTACAGGGACGTGGGGGAGATTTTCCGGGCTCCGATGACCTCACACCCTCCGCATTTCTTGCATTCCGAGTGCGTATCGGACCGGGCTCGCTATCAAATTGTGAAGAGAGGCGCTTTCGCACGATATCGAGTCCTGCCGGCAGGTGCCTCCTCGCCGCCGCATGAATGAAGCATTCGGGGAAAACGGGACCTCGGACACGCGAGCGGGGGAGGGAGGGGATCCATGAATGAGGGGAGGGGGGGTCAGGGGAGGAAGAAAGGCTTGGGAGCGCGGCGGGATGACGTCGCCCGTGACGTCACGACACCACTTTCTCCTACGAGGGTGAGGATGCCTGGCATAGCGGGGGGATCCCCTACGACGCGGGGGATTCGGCAACCCTGCGTCACGCTACTCCGTCTGCGTGTGTCCTCTCGCGCTCGCTTCACACACCGGTTCCTCGAGGCAGGGTTGCCGGATCCAAGCGACCTTCCCCCGCCGAGCCTTGGCCCGCTTCCGAGCCCTCGACTTCCTCGAATGCTATGCTGCATCGTTGAGGTCATCGAATGATCAGAATGCATAACGTAATACCGAGATCGTAGCCGCGACCTTAGGTGGCAACCCTGTCAAGGCCCACGTGACCGCAAACAAGTGCGTTGCATGCGGCAAAGGGGCCAACATCTGACGCGTCTCTGTGCTCCCCTCCGGTCATCTCTTTTTGTCCTCTGCCCCTGTTCTTTCCCCTCCTGACATGCGTGGAGCCAGATGGAAACAGCCTTGAGCCCCATTATCGCCACCACGCTCAAACGGCAGTGGCAACAGTAGAGGAAAACCATGAAGCTCGGCAGAGGACACTGGGCTCGAGCAGCGCATTACAGCATTCGAGTGGGCAGCCCCAGAGTGAATCGATAAGGAAAGGGCGAGAAGAGGTGGAAGAGAGAGAGAGAGAGCGACTCTCCTCCTTTCCTTTTTTCCACACACATTGCGGGCGAGATTAGGTTGGAAGCGGGGCGGTTCAAGCGGCGCACGGGGCGGGAGCCCGGCTGACCCCTATCGGCGGTATCCACTAAGGATCAATTTCCTGTGTCGTCGTCATGGCCCGTTCGACCTTGTCGGCACGGGCCCGAGGAGCGCGCTTCCTCGCTCTCTCTCGTCCTCCCTCATCATTCTTCCCTCTCGCTTCCCCAAACTATTCTCTTCGTTTCCCCTCCTCTCTTTGCTCCGAACAGATTCACTGCACATACACACGCTAATAAGCTAGCGTGTTTCTCTTCCGCTCTTCCATACGGCCCACACTCCCTCCTTATGGTCCCTGTGATCTCGACAAACAAGATTCCTAACGACTGCTCGAGTATTCACGGGACATTCTCGTGTGACAGATGGCATGCGGGGGGTTTCGGATCAGTGTTGCGCCTGGACAGAGGTGATGAATAAAAATCATTACAGGCTCTCTCACTTTCCCCTTCCCCTCTCTTTGCCTCCTTTTCCCTCGCGTCTTTCACCGCTCCCTATTGATCCCATTATCTTCATCTCCGACGCTGGCTTCCCTCCCTCGCTCCACGCATCCGGCAACCCTGCCCTGCCGTTCCACAACGCAACACGGGGCCCCGGGCACTCGTCTCTTCCCTCGTTCTCCCATCCATTCACTACCTTTCCCCCTTCTCACCTGAATCTAGCAGCTCCTGGCAGACGAACTCCCCCAGATCGGGCTCGTCCCCGTACCAGAAGATCCAGAGCTCCTTCCGATGCTGCAGGAGCGGCGTGGGGGGCTGAGGACCCCCCATGTGGGGGGGCAGATGATGATGCGGGGGCATACCGTACCCTCCCATGAATCCATGGTCGTTCATGAACGGGTACCCGTGGTGCTGCGGGGGGTGCCGGTGGACACTGGACGGCGTCCGTCGCCACACGCACAGGATATCACTGGCCAAACACTTTGCATACGATTTGAGCACCGGGTCTTCCGCGGGCTCCACGGGCAGGCGACACACGTTCTCGGGCGACAGGAGCTTCACGAATTTGATCCCGCAGAGGTCCGTCTTGGGGGAGGGAAAGATCAGAATTCAGTCGCGATTCGAAATTCGGCGAGATACGAGGGGGAATGGGCCTTACCAAGGCGAAGAAATTGGTGTGGCAGTCCTCCAAAGTGGCGCCGTTCGTCTGCTGGTTCGGGTGCGTCATGATTCGCGTCTCGGCGCCGGAGAATCACGGAATCCACGGGTAAGACGCAACCGCATCCTCACGAAAAAGCGCGACACACCGTCACATGGTGAAAAAGAAACGGGACTGACGCGACCGAGCACGAACGCTGCGCTTCAGCTGATGGCTCCTTCTCCGGCGGACATATCTCGCAAGCCGTCCCTCTCCCTCGCTTCCTATTGGTCGGCAGGGGCGCAGGGGAACCTTCGATACCGGGTGGTCCAAGAAGCCCGGAGCTTCTCTCCGCCTCGCTCTCCCGGGTCCACCTGCCTCGAGCGTGGGAACGGCTACTTTGCGATTTCCGAGGGAATTCTCAAAATGCACGGGCGTGCACGGGCTCGAGAGAGTGTGCGAGAGTCACCTGCTTCATCCTGTCCATCGTGCGAAGAGTAATGCACGGCATGGGACATGTGGCTGATATAATCTTGCCTCATTCGAGATAAAGGACTCATCTGGCCCAGAACACTCGAATGAGGACTTCATTATTCGCAACGATGAACGTTTTGAGACCGATCGAGCCAACTCTCGCTTCGGTAGCAATCGTATAGAGCGAGTTCCATTCGCGTCCCGAATGAGGTCAGTGCATGCGAAAGCACGTCATACCTTCGAAGCATTTGCTTCGTGCACCACCCCGTAGCATCAACTCCTCGATGCCCGCCAGATGGCAGCAGGCGACACCGACCGAGCCATGGCCGCTCGTACGGCAACCTCGTGTCTCGGGATGTCTCGGTTCTATCCCGCGCGGACCTTCTCTACGGTCCTGGCGCTTTGTCAAAAGGCGAATGGGTCGGTCGAAGTGCAAAGTGGGGATCCGGGTCTCGAAGGTCATCGAAAGGTCCAGTTCGATGTGGAGTCCCTGCAGGCTCGTGGGTAAGGCGTGAAGTTGCTTTCGGTCTAGGCCTAGCGTTAGGTTGCATCCGATTTTCACCATGGAATCTGGTTCGGGAGGTGAACGATAACGTTTCACGGTGCATGTCGTTGCCCGGGGACCTACATTGTTTCCAAGATCTTAACTATCACTCCAGGAGTGAATCACTTTCTCCCCCTTTTCCAAGAAGTGCGTAACTTATGCAACGACGACAGTATTACTTCATACTCTTTGTCTGACTCGTATAATATTATTCTGGAACGTACTACAGTGCACGAAGAGATTAATCAAATTTTGAGAGACTTCAGAGCCAAATTCCATGGTGAAGGTGGGATGTAGAATCTGAGGGATTCTCACTGTGACTCAGATTCTCAGTTTGATTTTTCCCTCTTCAGATTTCTGAGGAATCAGCGCTCCTACGACCCACCACCCGATGTGGCAAGCCAATTGCTCAGCATCAGTCAAGATGCATTGGGATCGAGGCTCTTGAGCGAGTGGAGTGAGACTCCCCTCGCAGATCCGCATGACAAATATGCACTTTTGACACATTGTGCTAGAGTTCTGGGTCATGTTGTGCCTAACTCCATGCTTCATCAAGTCTCTTCACTCGGTGAGGAAAACATGCATAAAAAGTTCAGCCTAACCTTTTCTGAAAGGAATGTGCTTGGTAGATCTTGTACTGTAAGGCTAGGCATGTACTTAAATTTGATTAATTTTGGACAATATTTGGACCTTTCGACCAATACTTTGGATGCATTGACTTGAACAAAGATTTTTTCATGTCCAACTGAGATGGTTTTATTTTGGAGAGTTACACCATTTACCAAATCATTCAAGATCTTGTGCAAAATGGGCCTAAAGGGTAGATCAAGTCTACTGGATTCCTGCATGGGTTGCCTGATTGACCCAACCTGCAGGCTGTAATTCATGAAATCCTCCCACAGGTGTGGTTAAGAATGATATTTTCTTATAGTTGTATTACCTCTAGCTAGGAATATGACTTATGTCAGTGTCTGTCTTGGATCTCATCACTTCTCTGTACTCCCCCAAGGCAGGAGTACAGAGAAGTGATAAATAAGCCCTTCCTCTGGTTAGGACCTTCTCTCAACCACAAGTTGGGAGGGTGCATCACACTTGTAACCTGTCCATAAGGTAGCACTTGCCTTGCCTCACACTGAGGGTGCTGTTCAGAAAGGGAAGGGAAAATATTGATTGAAGTGTGTCTCGAGTCTTATGTGATGTGTAACTGAAACTTGGGTTCTTCCTAGGTGGGGGTTAAAATTGTAATTGGGCCGATAAACTTGAAATCCTCTAAAAAAAACCTCCAAAAATTGCCCTTTTCAAGTCTCCACTGTTTACTTGGTGCAGTTATTCACTGATGGATGACAGAACTAGTCTTGAGCATCAAACATTGTGTTTCTCAGGTGATGTCTTGGAATTTTATAAGACACCAGTGGTGACAAAAAATCCTTATGAGCTGCTGCAGGAGAAGGACCTTCCGAAGAATCTCCATGTTATTCCCAATCCTGTCCGATTTCATCCTGGTATGCCTGCTGCATTGCTTTCTTCCAGCCAACTTGGTGCAATAAAATCAATTTAACTTTCATTATTTCCATTTCAGACACAGACACCCTCTTCAAAGGGCAGACAGCCTTCCCTGGCAGATCAACAGTTTCAAAGAGCTTGAGGTACAAGAAGAGGTACCCAGGGTATGATGCTCAACCTTTGCCACGGGTGTTTCATGACAACTGACCCATTTCTCTTAGCTCTTGTAGTGATAATAAAGCAGGGAATTCATTATGCAATCAAGAGGTTATACACTAACACGATATAGAGAATTCAAGTATCACAGATAGCAAAATTATAAAAAATCAAAAACACCAATGTCCTTCATTTTCCCCTATGAAAGAATCCTTTCTTGGAGGTCTTGGTATCTCTAGCCTGTGAAGTCAATACAAATGAGGATTTAAAATATGCAACTTCAAATAAAGAAATGGATGGGGGAGAAAAGGTGTACAACCATGTCTCCAAGGATGATGCGAGCTTTGTCTTCTTCCTGGGGGGATTGTGGAACATCCTCATTCAAGGTGCGTGGCATAAAGCGCAACTTCTGCTTCACCACTTGAGAGATGAGGACACGCTTGGTGTCATTGCGTACAGCCAAAAGGAAGTCCAGCCATGTCCAAGTCACATTGTGGTACTCGAACATGGGGAAGAGAAGCGTGAAGTCGTGCACATCCTCGATGTTCTTCTCCTTCTCGCCCTTGTAGCTCAGTCGCACAGGGACCTCTGGGACCTTGATGTAGACGAACAGTTTGTTCTGTTCTGCTCGTTCCTGGATTAGATGTGCATAAATACAAAGGTTGACAGATTAACATGGCTATGGCATAAAGTCAACATCAGAAAGAATGAGTAATATCTGAAGGAATGTTCTGCTTCAGGTGTACTGATATGATTAAAAGTGCGAATCATCTGTCAATGGCAATAGAGTAACAATTGTGAATGATTCTGCCTTGCGATGTTGAAACCAGGCTCCACAAAGCTCATGAAGGAAGAATGCAAATTGGATCACGCATTCATATATAATACTCCTTGGACCATCTTTTGCCTTGATCCTGTGTTAATCCTTAGAATGACTGCACTAAGGCATCTGCTAAACAGCTCCTCATGAAGATACACAGGTTCAGACTAGCAATTTAGCTTAGACATAGTTTGCATGATCCCATAAAGCAAATGTATCAAGTCTCTGACCCATCTAGTTGCAGCCTTGATGAATGCCTTTGTTTTCATTGAAATTTACTGTGAAAGAACAAGATGCAACCTTCCAGCAGTTTTCTCCAGAGTTTATGTTAAAGTATGATATAATCAATAAGTTCTGCTTGGCACAAATTATATAAAAAGCAATTTTTATTTTGTACTGAAAGAGCAGTTTACCATTTGGTCCAGCCAACAGTTTGACTTAAACTATGTAACTACAAGATAGGTATCTCCCATCCCAGTGAAAATTTTCACTTTATCTCCTTCCTAATATTTGACAGGTCCTTTCCAGCAGTAGATGCTGTTTTTTCTTTGACTTCATGAACCTACATACCTTCAGATTGCTCTGAGCAGTGTTCACAAAAACTAAAATTTCAATTTGCAAGTGCCACATGACATACCATCATTCTTCTACCTACATTCACATGTTGCTCTTGACTTAAAATCTGAGGGTAGTAAGTGAGGGAATTTATAAATGGCCTAAGGAAGTAGATAGTTGAAAAAAAAAAGAAGACAGCTTTTCTCCTACACCAATATCCCATTTTGCATAATTTCAGTTTGAGTTGTGTTTTCCAGTAACCTAACGCTGATGCAAAATGGGGTATTGGTGTACTTGTGAATTACCTCTTCCCTTGTAAATGCAAGAGTTAAAATTTTATAGCTACACTCTAAGAAAAAAAGTAACTTGTCTACATTGTAACTCTGCAGCTTATTTAGTTTGAACCATTTCTAGTGAAGAGCCTTCTGCACTTCATATCATTCCATATGCAATGCTTATAAGGATGTGTGGGGTTCACACGAACAAAATATGCATAGAACCTTTGAATTACTGATTCAATGACTACTGTAAATTAGACTTCAGAAAAGAAGAGAAACTGTGACTGTTACTGCACACCCTGAATTACTGGATCTAGAGACAGCATAACATGCCTTCATCTTCTCAACATCGTCCTTGATGGGAACATAGAAGGCCGAATCCTTGTGCTTGCGGGATGCAATCCCCTTGCCCTTCTTTTTTGGTGGGGGCGGTTCCTTCTCGGCCCCATCCTCCCTCTCTTCATCCAAGTGATCAGGATCCTTCTCAGGGAAGCAAAACTTCAGCATCTTCTTGAAGAACTGGTATGTCAGGGCAATGGTCACAGGGGCCAGGTTGATCTCAAAATGCTCCTTGATGGGAATCCCACCCACAGGTGCCTTTTCCCGACAGAACACTCGCAGGGTTCGCTGTTGGTTGAGTACAGTTTCAATCGGTGAGATGTTCAAGGGAGTGATGAGGCCAACAATGGCATTTTAGATTAGCATGTAATCATTTTGGCACATATTTGAGTATGTTGGTATTGATACTTCACTGAAGAATTTTTTAAATATCATATGAAATTCCTGTGAATTTATTTTATCATCCTCAAAGAGGTGAATCTTGGCATGTTTTCTCCAGTGTATGACTGTTTTATGTAAACTGTCATATAATCCAAATCAAGGGCAGGTAAGGTAGCAATAGCAAGCATTACAATGCAGTAGCCCTTTCCATAAGTAAACATTGGCCAGAAATTGCCAAACAGTTATCAGTTGACCAATTTCTGTAACAATCCATCACCAATTCAAAGGGGGATTGAGAGAGGATGTGAAACCTGTCGATCGAGGGGGACAGATGTGTGGAGTTCAGTGGGGCGGAGGACGTCCTTATATTCGACATTGGGGATCAGGTTCTTCATGTTGATGTAGCCCAGCTCGGCCAGGTGCTCCAGCGAGTCGTCACTCTTGGTCACCTTCTTGTACCTGAATTTTGGAAGAAGAGTTGGACTTAGACAATTTATTTTTTCATGCTATTGGTTGAGCATCCAATCTTGTTTTGATTTCTTACTGCACTTCCAGCGCATTGCTTTTAAAATTGAGCTTCTGTATGTTGAACGCTTTTGGGTATGGTGTCTGGAATTGGATGAAGCTTATCCCAAGTTGGCCTCGATAGGATAAGGAAGTTTAACAACAGACTCTTGTGATACTATTACACATCCTATACCAAATGCCATTGTGCATAATTCACAGATGTGTAGGAACAAAATGCATTAGGCCTTTGCCTTACCTCATGTAAAGGTATCTTATCAGATTTCATCTAGCAGGACTTTAAATTCTGAGAGTATTCATGAAATACCTTCACCTCATTCATGACCAAATTGTGTCATCCCGTGGAGTAAAATCATGGAAATAATATTCCTTTAACTGATTCCTATCACACAAGCAAGAAAATTTTAGAGAGGTCTGGCATACAAAAAAGAAGAATCAACCAGTATCTAGACAATCCATACTAACTATACTCACATGCACTCAGCTTCATTCTTGCTTCTAAATAACATACTCATACATATTCACTCTGGAGCAGGATAGTCACTACAAGTGACAAGCACCAGATCAGTGACTGTAAAGTGATCTCACATCCTAATGGGCTGGCCCATGAACGCATTGGTTTAAAATAATTAATTACTTTCACTTTCCATACTGAAACCAAATTTAAAGCTAAATGGATCTGATGTAGGTCCCAATTAGTCAGCAATTGGGTTACAGTTCAACCCAAAAAAAGTGGGTTTACAAACCAAGAACAGTGGTTAGGGTCCAAAACTGAAGAGAGGCAAGAGCTCAAGGCCCAAGGAGTGAAGGGCTTGCAACCCAATAGGTGATGATAGTGAGGGCTCACAAGAAGGCAGAAAGGACGAGGTCGGCGATGCCGATCTGGCCGTCGGCCTCGGTGAGTCGCCATTGGGCATGGGAGAAGCAGACCTCACTGGATCGCACCACGCTCACTGCCTCGTTTCCGCCCTTGACCCGCCCCCACTTCCTGTGTGCGGCCAGCTGCGTCTCCTTGTACACGGACAGCTTCATGTCTAGCTCTTCGCTCTGGATCATGAGTCGCTCTTTGGCATCATTGATCTGTTTCTCTAGAGCCTGCAACTCCTTCTCCTTGACTGGGTCAGGGGTCTTGAGTGCGTCGAGCTCTCTCTGCACCAGATAGCTCGATCGCTCCAGCTGACGCAGCTGCAGCGTCAGGAGCCTAAAAACATTTTTGCATAGATCTCACTCATTGACTCTTGGGGAACGTTTTGCTTGATCCAATTTTTATCTTTTGGCTGATACTTTGGCTAATAAAATACAAAGTCATACAACAGACAAAAATGCAGTTTGAGCAGGCAGACCTGACGTCATTCTGCAACTCCAGGATGGGCCCACGTTGGTCTTCGATGGACGTGAGCTGGAGCTGGAAGCGGAGCCGCTGGAGCCGATCTCCCGCCTCTTTGCGCTTGGGTTCCATGTACAGAAGCAGGTTGTTGATGATGTCCAGGACCATTGCATACTGCAACGTACAAAAGACTCCATATCAACGCATTTGATAATACAGAATACTCAATAGCAGGAAATAATAATCATCCTTTCCTTTGCCTATTGGATAGGAGTCAAACTGCCTGCAAATAGGTTATGACTAAGTGGTTCCACTTTAAAAAGTTTAAAATCACAGAGGGAAATTTTTCTCCCCAGCTTTGTCTCCAGGATGAGAGAGCAGGTTTCTAACAATTCAGATACATAGATACTTATGGCTCTGTCAGATGAGAAAATCAGTTCATATCCTGTCAGTAGTTGAAGGGATAGTCACCTGGACCAAACATAATGTGAGGCTTTTGGTTTTCAACTAACTCCAGGCATGGATGAGAATAGACAGAACAATGAACACCTTCCTTTCTTGGTCAAACAATAAAACAAACAAATCAGTTTAAAAAATTAGAGTCAAAAAGTTTATAAGCAAGACAGGCATTATATCTGGAACTTTTTTTTTAATTTGTAACATGTATATTCATGCTATAGTTTCAATAAACTGAAATGTTTGGGGGTTTACTTATGTATTTCATAAAACTGAAATGGCACCAACAAGCCCTCATGCAAACTACTCAAATTACAATTTCTAGCATAGCTGCTCAAAACTTCAGAACATGATAATAAAATAAATAATTGAAACTGCAGTTTCCTTTTGTGTTGGAATACCAACCATATATTATTAGGCTTACCTGAGTCCCATGTATACAGTTCATTACATGTATACAGGCCACCCAGTTCATTACATCATTATTGCTAGTACAACTGATAAAGTGACTAGGATCACATTGAGGAAGCACATATAGCCAGTGAATGCCATGAAGTTCACTTTCTGCATGAGTGCCTTCAATTCTCCTCTGGTTTCTGGTTAGAAAAGCATGTTACCCTCTCCACTCAGGAGAACAAAACACAGGAAGATTTGTGACCTATTCTGGGGGATCTCATTGTCTCTTCTGACCTGGAGCGCATTGGTAGAAACATTCAGGTCTTGGTGGGTGAGGGTGAAGGAGTCATGGGGTTCCCTCTGGGTGCCCCAGAGATTAAGGTCATCTCCTGGGGGCGGAGGAGCCTCAGCCAACTCACTCAGGTCGAGGCTTGTATCTCCATAGCTCGCATAGTAGAACTCGCAGCGACACCGAGACACGATTCGCTGCAGCTGCATCACGAAAGTAAGAGACTAGTCTTGTTGCATTTTGATCATGGTTTATGTTAACTTATAGAGAAAATTACTGACTCAAGGCCTTACAAAGTTTCAATGGGGTAAAAATAAATTACAGCTCTGAGAAAACAGAACTTCTGCTTCCTTTTTGGAGGCATGAGTGAAATTCCATGTACACTGAAGAGGACTGTTTGAGCCAATAATATTTCAGTCAGACCTGTATGTCATCCAGATCTGTGGCATCCTCGGTGGTGGCCCCAACAATGGGGCTGACAACACCCCCAACACTCTGCCCACTGCCAACCAGCTCGGGGAGGTCGGGGACATCTGCTATCACCGTCAGATCTTTCTCACCGATGTGCTCCTTGCTCAACCACATGATGTTCTCTGTAAAGTAATACATGCATCAAATGTAATGCATTTTCAAGAAAAAAATAATCAAAAAGCAGAGTTGTTGGCCTGACAAAAGGGAAAGCGATACCCAAGTTATCCAGAAGTGGAAGGATGAACAATCACCAATTTTTTAGTCTAAAAAAAGGGGAATGCTTGCACCTCTACTGATGGTGAAAATTTCACATCCATCCTATTGTATGCTAGTCAAACAGATGATTGCAGACTTTCAGAAAAATGGAATTCTCATGAGAAGAAATGAAATTGATTCTGAATCAGTATGAAAGCTACCCCAGAATCTTCTAATTCACTTTTAAAGACTTCAGAATTTGAACGAAAAAAGGAACACATATGCCAAAAAAATCACAAGTCATGAGTCTGATGAATGGATGAGTTCCAAAGTTCAATTGCATCCTGCAAAGGACAAAACCTACCAGATGAGGCATTTTTGCGGCCTGCATTCACGGTTGCATAGTACTGCATCCCCTCGAGGGAACCAATCCAGGAGTTTTTGGAGACAAGGCTCCGGTTCTTCCAGGTGGGACGGTGGACCCGCTGGTGGATCTGGGCCTTGCTTGCGCTCACAATGATGTATCCCTGTGTCTCACACCCCTTCAGCAGTACCTGGCTGTTCACCAGCTCAACTAAATGAATAAGACATAATTTTCAGGCACTTTATCTTGCATTAGTCTCTGGTCAGCGTCTGCATTATAATGTAAACATACTTTCAACAATCTTGGAAACAAATACAAACTCTTTCAGTCTCTTCTGATGCTCAGTTTCACACCTTACGTATTCTGACATGTTCATATTAGTATGGGGAATGGCTTTTCACACAACAATAAGCTTTATGTTTTTCAATAGACAACCATGACCCAATATTCAAGTAAGTAAATAATTATTTGTTTATTATTGTTTTCTTCATGTTCATTTACTGACAAGGATTCTTGTATTAATGATATATATATATACATATATATATATATATTTAAAGATATGGAGTGAGGGACTGACTCAGCCAGTTGTCATAGACAACATCATCCATCTGGCAGGCAGCCACCCCATGGAGAGTCTCAGCCCGTGGCTGGGAAGGGATGTCCTCACTGAAAGCAACAGCATTCCCCCCCTCAGCAATCAGTTTCTGCAGCATTGCAGCAGCATGGCTGGACTGGAGCTTGCCAAGGGGGCTTGGAGTGGCCGCTGCACCCGTCCCTGTGCTCAGCCGTGCGCTGAGGGATGTGTTTATTGGCTCTCCAGTCTGGGGGCAACAGTTGAACTCCATTGAATAAAAAAATAAAAAAAAGCAGACAAAAGACAATGATCATGTTGCATGTGACTCAATTGGATAGGAGATATTATGGACATGCCATAGTTTCTTCCACTCAATCTTCACAGTCAGTATTTTACATTTCAAGGGATGAAGTTTCTGTAGTTCACAAGTAGATGAAATATAGGATTTTTGCAAGGATGCTATCATAAGATATCTCAATGAATGAATAAGTCCTAAGTATCTGCTCTTTCTGAAAAGGAGTATAATTACCTCTGAGTCATATGACTAGTGCATTCAACAAGGGAAATATTGAATTATTGAATAGTAAATTTTCAGACCTCAGGTGGAGGGGAAGCAGAGCTGGGAGTCGCATCGAGGGAGTGGGTTCTGGGTTTGTTCCCACCACTGCCATCCACAGCTCCCTCATTGGTCCAGAAGAGCTTTAGCACATCACGGGAAAGATTTTTGCGGAGGTTCTGGGCCTTCATCAGTCCGTCAAAGATGGCAAAGACGACATCTCGGTTAGACGTGGTCCAGGCGGCCCGGAGGTCGTGGACCACCAGGCGATGGCGAGGTGTCTCCCGCATCATGGGGTCAGCCTGTAGCATCACGTTCATCGGGAGTGAGGCCTCTCGGCCGTATGACATGCAGCTCACGCTCAGGAAGTAGCACTTCTCAACTGGGGTCCGAACCTGTGCAAAATACATCTTGCCTCTTAGCAGCTTTGCTTGTATCCTAAAGAATGAATTACTTTTTGAAAAAACCCACAGATTTGCTGAACAGAATAACAGATTCTTTTTGCTAAAAACATATGCAATAGATTTTTTGCATGATAAATATGTATATGTTCCCATTATACCTGAAGCAGCAGTGCCATTCTGTAACTAAGACATTATCAGGCAAATGTGACTGCTATGAATAAACCTACATGTTTAACAAAAGGATTGATTAGACAAAAAAGGCCTACTTGTGCATTCTAGGATATCTGCTTCCTCTTTAGAAAAATTTGCCTTTGCCAGTATCAATTAGGACCTCGGAAATAAGGAGATGGTCTCACATGCTGCTGGGGATCCTCATCAGCATTGGGCAAGTTATCTGTCAAAGAGCTGAGAAGCCAGACTTCAGAATCGCTCAGCTCACAGTTCATGTATGCGATGGACCAGTCGGCACGGGGACGATGGACCAACCCGTCTTGGATGGGGGTGAGGCCGAGCACATGCTCTGAGCTCAGACTCAGTCGTCCTCCCTTCACCTCGAATCCTTTCTGGTGGGCGAACGACATCCAGTAGCAGACGTGGAATTGGTGCAGGCTCAGCGAGAACCGCACCTTGTGGTAGTGGCGGCTCAGGGCAGCCTTTCGGGGTCGGGTGCGATGGAAGTATGGGCCCCGGCGTGTCGGCCGAGTCACTCCTGTGAGGGACAATTTTTTTATACCAATGTGTCTATTCAACAACTGAGGTTATTAACATCCAAACTCTCTAAGATTTAGTTATAAATATCAATTGCATAACATATTTTATATATGAAATGGCATTGAGCTAAAAATGTACATGTGACACATAGTGAACAGATCAGATGCAATCTCATTCCTCTATAGTTTCCCTATGGAAAAAGCCAGCATGCATGACATCAGAAATTTGGGACCCTAATATCATTAATCTTCCAACACAGTAGATATTATCCTAATTTCAACTTAATTATTTTTTGACTAAATGAACACATGATTCATTGAGAGAACCACAAATTATATTCCAAAAGTTTGGCTGTTATTATCTGTTTTTCTCATCTCATTTTATTTGGAAAACAGGATTTCACAAGAGTAGCTTGTTTAGTAGATGCAGCAGAAAGTTCACCCTTCACAAGTAACTTCNCTCAGCCCGTGGCTGGGAAGGGATGTCCTCACTGAAAGCAACAGCATTCCCCCCCTCAGCAATCAGTTTCTGCAGCATTGCAGCAGCATGGCTGGACTGGAGCTTGCCAAGGGGGCTTGGAGTGGCCACTGCACCTGTCCCAGTGCTCAGCCGGGCGCTGAGGGATGTGTTTATTGGCTCTCCAGTCTGGGGGCAACAGTTGAACTCCATTGAATAAAAAAATTTAAAAAGCAGACAAAAGACAATGATCATGTTGCATGTGACTCAATTGGACAGGAGATATTATGGACATGTCATAGTTTCTTCCACTCAATCTTCACGGTCAGTATTTTACATTTCAAGGGATGAAGTTTCTGTAGTTCACAAGTAGATGAAATATAGGATTTTTGCAAGGATGCTATCATAAGATATCCCAATGAATGAATAAGTCCTAGGTATCTGCACTTTTTGAAAAGGAGTAAAATTACCTCTGAGAGTCATATGACTAGTGCATTCAACAAGGGAAATATTGAATTATTGAATAGTAAATTTTCAAACCTCAGGTGGAGGGGAAGCAGAGCTGGGAGTTGCATCGAGGGAGTGTGTTCTGGGTTTGTTCCCACTGCTGCCATCCGCAGCTCCCTCATTGGTCCAGAAGAGCTTTAGCACGTCACGGGAAAGATTCTTGCGGAGGTTCTGGGCCTTCATCAGTCCGTCAAAGATGGCAAAGACGACATCTCGGTTAGACGTGGTCCAGGCGGCCCGGAGGTCGTGGACCACCAGGCGATGGCGAGGTGTCTCCCGCATCATGGGGTCGGCCTGTAGCATCACGTTCATCGGGAGTGAGGCCTCTCGGCCATATGACATGCAGCTCACGCTCAGGAAGTAGCACTTCTCAACCGGTGTCCGAACCTGTGCATAAATACATCCTGCCTCTTAGCAGTTTTGCTTGTATCCTAAAGAATGAATTACTTTTTGAAAAAACCCACAGATTTGCTGAACAGAATAACAAATTCTTTCTGCTAAAAGCATATGCAATAGATTTTTTGCATGATAAATATGTATATGTTCCCATTATACCTGAAGCAGCAGTGCCATTCTGCAACTAAGACATTATCAGGCAAATGTGACTGCTATGAATAAACCTACATGTTTAACAAAAGGATTGATAGGACAAAAAAGGCCTACTTGTGCATTCTAGGATATCTCCTTCCTCTTTAGAAAAATTTGCCTTTGCCAGTATCAAGTAGGACCTTCCTTTATTCCTCTACCAGAGTGTACGACGACCCCTAGGAGTAGTCGTAACCCGTTCAATAGACAGTTTCTCGACTCTTCGGTCTGAAGTCTTAGCGAGTCGAGTGTCAAGTACATACGCTACCTGGTGTCGGCACGGGGACGATGGACCAACCCGTCTTGGATGGGGGTGAGGCCGAGCACATGCTCTGAGCTCAGACTCAGTCGTCCTCCCTTCACCTCGAATCCTTTCTGGTGGGCGAACGACATCCAGTAGCAGACGTGGAATTCCACGTCCGAGTCGCTCTTGGCGTGGAACACCATCACCGCCGAGTCCCGTCGGAAAGCCCCAGCCCACGCTACCTTCATACCCGGGGCCGCACAGCCGGCTCAGTGAGGACACTCCCTGTTAAAAAATATACCAATGTGTCTATTCAACAACTGAGGTTATTAACATCCAAACTCTCTAAGATTTAGTTATAAATATCAATTGCATAACATATTTTATATATGAAATGGCATTGAGCTAAAAATGTACATGTGACACATAGTGAACAGATCAGATGCAATCTCATTCCTCTATAGTTTCCCTATGGAAAAAGCCAGCATGCATGACATCAGAAATTTGGGACCCTAATATCATTAATCTTCCAACACAGTAGATATTATCCTAATTTCAACTTAATTATTTTTTGACTAAATGAACACATGATTCATTGAGAGAACCACAAATTATATTCCAAAAGTTTGGCTGTTATTATCTGTTTTTCTCATCTCATTTTATTTGGAAAACAGGATTTCACAAGAGTAGCTTGTTTAGTAGATGCAGCAGAAAGTTCACCCTTCACAAGTAACTTCACATAAAATAAACCAACATGAGATCAGAAGTCATTTCTGGTCATTTGTTCCACCAGAGTAAATTTTAGTAAATCCTATTTGAAGTGTTCAATCAGAATAATCTGTAATACGTAATCATTCAGTCATACACCACATGATAGTTTGTGTTGTCACTTTAGGAAGGGTAAAACTGAATCCTTTGGCGAGTATGCCCGTATATATATATATATATATATATATGGGCTGACATTCTCCTGCCCTCCATGTATTCATGGTGACCTTCTAGATGTTAAAAAACCCACTCCTAAAAAGGGTTAATGAAAAGCATGAACACTAGTACAAGGCAATTCTCATTGAGTTGTATTTAGCCAGGCCTAACAAGCTCAGTAGTCAGTGGCAAGAGAATGAATCAAGTGAGGACAGCAGCAGAAGCATCCCCCTTTGAGGAGGACAGGCCTACATCCTCTCTCTCTTTCTCTTTTCTCTCAGTCAGCCTCTGATCTATGAGAGTTTGAGGAGCGCAATGTCTGCCTCTGAAATGGCTGGCTGCCACCCACTTGACCCATATATCAGGCTCGAAGCCCATCGAGCAGGATAACAGACAGATTTTTCTTTGCTTATCTATAATTCCATGAAGATCTAGCCAACGTACTATAAATATTACAAGGGCATCCAATCCTGAGCACGTATAATTCAGAGTAAGTACATTTTCACTTTATCAGAGCATTGGTGATAGATACATGCAAGGTCAATACTCCATCCAGGTATCAAGGATATTGGGAAGGTCAAAGGCCTGATGGTGAAGACTGGAATGGTTAGACTAGAGAAACCATGAGCTAAAGAAAGATAAGATAAGATTATGAATGAAATAAAACCAAAAGTAAATAAGACTGGAGGGGGGAATATAACCTTGGCCCATTTGACCTGGGAGAAACTTCAGGTCTGTACTTGACCTACAGACCAAGGAGGAAATAACTTCTGCATCTNTCAGTATTTTACATTTCAAGGGATGAAGTTTCTGTAGTTCACAAGTAGATGAAATATAGGATTTTTGCAAGGATGCTATCATAAGATATCCCAATGAATGAATAAGTCCTAGGTATCTGCACTTTTTGAAAAGGAGTAAAATTACCTCTGAGAGTCATATGACTAGTGCATTCAACAAGGGAAATATTGAATTATTGAATAGTAAATTTTCAAACCTCAGGTGGAGGGGAAGCAGAGCTGGGAGTTGCATCGAGGGAGTGTGTTCTGGGTTTGTTCCCACTGCTGCCATCCGCAGCTCCCTCATTGGTCCAGAAGAGCTTTAGCACGTCACGGGAAAGATTCTTGCGGAGGTTCTGGGCCTTCATCAGTCCGTCAAAGATGGCAAAGACGACATCTCGGTTAGACGTGGTCCAGGCGGCCCGGAGGTCGTGGACCACCAGGCGATGGCGAGGTGTCTCCCGCATCATGGGGTCGGCCTGTAGCATCACGTTCATCGGGAGTGAGGCCTCTCGGCCATATGACATGCAGCTCACGCTCAGGAAGTAGCACTTCTCAACCGGTGTCCGAACCTGTGCATAAATACATCCTGCCTCTTAGCAGTTTTGCTTGTATCCTAAAGAATGAATTACTTTTTGAAAAAACCCACAGATTTGCTGAACAGAATAACAAATTCTTTCTGCTAAAAGCATATGCAATAGATTTTTTGCATGATAAATATGTATATGTTCCCATTATACCTGAAGCAGCAGTGCCATTCTGCAACTAAGACATTATCAGGCAAATGTGACTGCTATGAATAAACCTACATGTTTAACAAAAGGATTGATAGGACAAAAAAGGCCTACTTGTGCATTCTAGGATATCTCCTTCCTCTTTAGAAAAATTTGCCTTTGCCAGTATCAAGTAGGACCTTGGAAATAAGGAGATGGTCTCACATGCTGCTGGGGATCCTCATCAGCATTGGGCAAGTTATCTGTCAAAGAGCTGAGAAGCCAGACTTCAGAATCGCTCAGCTCACAGTTCATGTATGCGATGGACCAGTCGGCACGGGGACGATGGACCAACCCGTCTTGGATGGGGGTGAGGCCGAGCACGTGCTCCGAGCTCAGACTCAGTCGTCCTCCCTTCACCTCGAATCCTTTCTGGTGGGCGAACGACATCCAGTAGCAGACGTGAAATTGGTGCAGGCTCAGCGAGAACCGCACCTTGTGGTAGTGGCGGCTCAGGGCAGCCTTTCGGGGTCGGGTGCGATGGAAGTATGGGCCCCGGCGTGTCGGCCGAGTCACTCCTGTGAGGGACAATTTTTTCACAAATGTGTATATTCAACAACTGAGGTAGGTTATTAACATCAAAACTCTCTAAGATTTAGTTATAAATATAAATTGCATAACATATTTTATATATGAAATGGCATTGAGTTAAAAATGTACATGTGACACATAGGTGAACAGGTCAGATGCAATCTCATTCCTCCATAGTTTCCCTATGGAAAAAACCAGCATGCATGACATCAGAAATTTGGGACCCTAATATTATTAACCTTCCAACACAGTGGATATTATCCTAATTTCAATATAATTATTTTTTGACTAAATGAACACATGATCCATTGAGAGAACCACAAATTATATTCCAAAAGTTTGGCTGTTATCAGTTTTTCTCATCTCCTTTTATTTGGAAAACAGGATTTCACAAGAGTAGCTTGCTTAGTAGATGCAGAAGATCTCAGAAAGTTCACCCTTCACAAGTAACTTCACATAAAATAAACCAACATGAGCTCAGAAGTCATTTCTGGTCATTTGTTCCACCAGAGTAAATTTTAGTAAATCCTATTTGAAGTGTTCATTCAATCAGAATAACCTGGAATATTTAATCATCCAGTCATACACCACATGATAGATTGTGTTGTCACTCTGTTTAGGAAGGGTAAAACTTAATCCTTTGGCGAGTATGCCCGTATATATATATGGGCTGACATTCTCCTGCCCTCCATGTATTCACTACGGGTGATCTTCTAGATGTTAAAAAACCCACTCCTAAAATGGGTTAATGAGAAGCATGAACACTAGTACAAGGCAATTCTTACTGAGTTGTATTTAGCCAGGCCTAACAAGCTCAGTAGTTGGTGGCAGGAGAATGTGAATCAAGTGAGGACAGCAGCAGAAGCATCCCCCTTTGGAGAGGACAGGCCTACATCCTCTCTCTCTCTCTCTCTTTTCTCTCAGTCAGCCTCTGATCTCTGAGAGTTTGAGGAGCTCAATGTCTGCCTCTGAAATGGCTGGCTGCCACCCACTTGACCCATATATCAGGCTTGGAGCCCATTGAGCAGGATAACAGACAGATTTTTCTTTGCTTATCTATAATTCCATGAAGATCTAGCCAACATACTATAAATTTTACAAGGGCATCCAATCCTGAGCATGTATAATTCAGAGTAAGTACATTTTCACTTCATCAGAGTATTGGTGATAGATACATGCAAGGTCAATACTCCATCCAGGTATCAAGGATATTGGGAAGGTCAAAGGCCTGATGGTGAAGACTGGAATGGTTAGACTAGAGAAACCATGAGCTAAAGAAAGATAAGATAAGATTATGAATGAAATAAAACCAAAAGTAAATAAGACTGGAGGGGCGAATATAACCTTGGCCCATTTGACCTGGGAGAAACTTCAGGTCTGTACTTGACCTACAGACCAAGGAGGAAATAACTTCTGCATCTTAGCATCTTGTAAAAGGAAGCAAAATGGAATGAAATGTATCTGTAGCTCTTCGAGGGTAGGCATTTAGCAGGCCCATTCTAAGCAACACAGTGCTTCATGTGACCAGACTTCCCCCACCAACAACCCCAGACATCTTCTGCAAGAATGTTTTTCTCTGCCACCTTCCATCAATGGTGAATAGGGGAAGATGGGTGGGGGCAGGGTTATAAAATGGGAAGAACTGGGAACAGTGGCTGAGAAACTCTTCAAATTTACATTCCTTGAAAATCAGAACATTCATATATTTTTGCTGAAAACCAGGTCATCTGATCACCCTAATGTACAGGGCTCAAATATGTGCCTCCCATGGCCTGCCACTCTTCACTTTTCCTCTCCTCTCATGTAAGAAGTGAAGGAAGGGAAATGAAATCAGAGGAATGACCCATAAGACCCATAATGCCTTGCAATTGAATGTTCAAAAATTACTGTCTGGCAGAGAACATTTTGTTACTCATTTCAACATAGAAGCTTAAAGTCCAAAAAGAAATTCTGTAATGCATTCATATCAGGAGAGAAGAAATCTCACCAGAAACAAAGATGAACTTGAGGTTCTCGAACCAGCGGAAAGTGCTGGCAAAGAAGAGTGCCGATGGGAGATCCCCCTGGATGGGTTTCGTCTCCATCGAGAGGCTGAGGTTGAGGTTCTGCGAGCGGAAAGCCCGGTACGAATCGTGCTCTGGGTTGCTCGAATACTCGGTCCTGCGTTCGGGGTTGCAAGGCGACACGACGTGGTGGTCGTTGGGGTCAGACAGGCACACCCATTCCATCTTCGACACAATCTTCAAGTTAGGCAAGTGGAGAAGGCGACAGTCATCATACTTGGACGCCGTGCGCACCAGGACATCTAGACAGCCCTTCAGGAGGATCTCCGCTAATGATAAGCAGCAAGAGTAAGGATGCATGGACATTACTCGAGACTCAGAGAGAACCCTATGAATGCATAATTCTTATTTCAAACAAAACCCATGAATAAAGGATCCAAAAATACTGCATGAAACCNTATATATATATATATGGGCTGACATTCTCCTGCCCTCCATGTATTCATGGTGACCTTCTAGATGTTAAAAAACCCACTCCTAAAAAGGGTTAATGAAAAGCATGAACACTAGTACAAGGCAATTCTCATTGAGTTGTATTTAGCCAGGCCTAACAAGCTCAGTAGTCAGTGGCAAGAGAATGAATCAAGTGAGGACAGCAGCAGAAGCATCCCCCTTTGAGGAGGACAGGCCTACATCCTCTCTCTCTTTCTCTTTTCTCTCAGTCAGCCTCTGATCTATGAGAGTTTGAGGAGCGCAATGTCTGCCTCTGAAATGGCTGGCTGCCACCCACTTGACCCATATATCAGGCTCGAAGCCCATCGAGCAGGATAACAGACAGATTTTTCTTTGCTTATCTATAATTCCATGAAGATCTAGCCAACGTACTATAAATATTACAAGGGCATCCAATCCTGAGCACGTATAATTCAGAGTAAGTACATTTTCACTTTATCAGAGCATTGGTGATAGATACATGCAAGGTCAATACTCCATCCAGGTATCAAGGATATTGGGAAGGTCAAAGGCCTGATGGTGAAGACTGGAATGGTTAGACTAGAGAAACCATGAGCTAAAGAAAGATAAGATAAGATTATGAATGAAATAAAACCAAAAGTAAATAAGACTGGAGGGGGGAATATAACCTTGGCCCATTTGACCTGGGAGAAACTTCAGGTCTGTACTTGACCTACAGACCAAGGAGGAAATAACTTCTGCATCTTGGCATGTTGTAAAAGGAAGCAAAACAGAATGAAATGTATCTGCTGCTCTTCGAGGGTAGGCATTAGCAGGCCCATTCTAAGCAACACAGTGCTTCATATGACCAGACTTCCCCCACCAACAACCCCAGAGATCTTCTGCAAGAATGTTTTTCTCTGCCACCTTCCATCAATGGTGAGTAGGGGAAGATGGGTGGGGGGGGGGGGGGAGGCAGGGTTATAAAATGGGAAGAACTGGGAACAGTGGCTGAGAAACTCTTCAAATTTACATTCCTTGAAAATCAGGAAAGTCATATATTTTTGCTGAAAACCAGGTCATCTGATCACCCTAATGTACAGGGCTCAAATATGTGCCTCCTATGGCCTGCCACTCTTCACTTTTCCTCTCCTCTCATGTAAGAAGTGAAGGAGGGGAAATGAAATCAGAGGAATGACCCATAAGACCCATAATGCCTTGCAATTTAATGTTCAAACATTACTGTCTGGCAGAGAACATTTTGTTACTCATTTCAACATAGAAGCTTGAAGTCCAAAAATAAATTCTGTAATGCATTCATACCAGGAGAGAAGAAATCTCACCAGAAACAAAGATGAACTTGAGGTTCTCGAACCAGCGGAAAGTGCTGGCAAAGAAGAGTGCCGATGGGAGATCCCCCTGGATGGGTTTTGTCTCCATCGAGAGGCTGAGGTTGAGGTTCTGCGAGCGGAAAGCCCGGTACGAATCGTGCTCTGGGTTGCTCGAATACTCGGTCCTGCGTTCGGGGTTGCAAGGCGACACAACGTGGTGGTCGTTGGGGTCAGACAGGCACACCCATTCCATCTTTGACACAATCTTCAAATTAGGCAAGTGGAGAAGGCGACAGTCATCATACTTGGACGCCGTGCGCACCAGGACATCTAGACAGCCCTTCAGCAGGATCTCCGCTAATGATAAGCAGCAAGAGTAAGGATGCATGGACATTACTCGAGACTCAGAGAGAACCCTATGAATGCATAATTCTTATTTCAAACAAAACCCATGAATAAAGGATCCAAAAATACTGCATGAAACCCATAAACCAAATCTCCAGAAGAGGGAAGGGATAACTTCCTGCAAGCAGCCACAAATACAGATTAAAAAACACAATCTATTCTGCAATCTTGTTTCAAGGAAGGTAGCATGGCAGACAAATGAAATGAAGTCCTTTGGAAGGTGGCCTTACCATTGGTCCAGTCAAAGCTGAGGTCAGTCCACCGAAGTTCCATCTCCTCAGTTGTGTTGTATGGGTCACGTGATGCATGCAGGAGGAGGGTCATCCGCTCCACCGAAAGCGTGAGGCGCCCATGGAGCAGCAGACGACACTTGTCCCACCAGGGTAGCAGAGGGGAGCTGTCGAGCGATGGTCGATTGATGAACTCCAGAGCCACATTCACCTGCATGGCATTTGCACCAAAGACGTTTACTGCAAGTGCTTCATCCAAACAGATAATATTGGAATATTTGCACTGTGATTTGCACAAACCATGTCAGTTTCCATGGGTAACATGAAGTGTCCCATATCACACATGAGAGCTGCATGGTTTTACTTTTAGATACTCTACTTCATAGGAGCAAAAGAAGTCAAAACATGTACAGGAAAGACAATCTGAACTTGGTCCTCATAGATGGGATCCAAGCCTGTTATTAACCAAACTTTTTTTTGCTTTTCTGATTGAATACAGGGATCAGGGCCATCAGCTAAGGTTATGGCCAGGATGTCTTTCTTATGATTCTAATGATTCTTGAATCTTGCACATACATGGGTTTTCATACCTCTCCCAGATGCCCTCACCTGGCATAATGGCCTGACATGGTGAAATTACCTGGATACGTCACAAATAACAAATTTCCCACATGAAGAAAGGAGCAAGATAATAAGTACAAATGAAGGGAATCTTCCAAGTCTCTTTTCCCATTCTGACCAATGCAAGAAAAGGTGTGAAGTTCTCTTCCTTTCATCAGGAAATACTGACAAAAGCAATAAGTCCATGATTTGAATTTGCAACACTCATGGAGAAATCTCCTTGAGCCAGCACTCAAAAGTTACATTTAAAAAATAAAATGTTCAGGATGCACAAATAGAATAAAAGATAATAAAAAAAAAGGATGACTGGCATTCATTTTCTAACATAACTTGCACCAAATTCATGGATGCACCAAACTCATTCATTCGTGGATGGGATGCAGCACAAGTTAAATATCATTAGGACGAAAAAAGAGAACAAAAAGGAAGATAAGCAACCTGGGCAAGAGCAGGTTCCCAACACGGTCCATAGGCAAATGAGAGCCTCCCAACATCACAGCTGAAGTCATAAAAGAATTTGAGTGGCATCATACTCCTCTCCACGGTTGCATTCTCCCACGGGTGCCCAACCTCGACTGCACACGTACGGATCGCTGCAGGGGCAAATGATGGTTTGAGAATCTTTGAGTCCTGGAGAAAATACTGAAGTGCAGGGGGGAAAAATATAGACCTCTCCAAGTGGGTTTCTGCTCGGCACCAAGGAGCCGCCCCCACAGGTGGAAGTCGGTGAAGTCGATCAAGGACTGGGGGTAATCCCGAAGGGTCACGCCCACATTCTTGCAGTCCAGGTTCACTGTGCGGCACCAGAGAATTGAGAAATTCAGCCCATCTGCTGGCAGGGGACTGTCAAAGGAAATGGGAAAATATAGATGATGGAAACGATGAACCCCATCATTTCATGCTTAACCAATGAAGCCACTCAAGATATTCCATTTGATCTTTCCTAAAATATTTAGTCAACACAAAAGCATCAACCATTTCCAGCATGCAGCAGTTGTCCTTGGCATTTCCCTGCTTGCTACTGACAGGAGAGACAGGGAGCAGCTTCTATTTCTCATTGGGCACCACACCATTTATACCACCAGATACATAGGTTACATTTACTCATAGGAGACATTAAAGCCACATTGTTTCTTTACCAGTTCTTTACAGGTGATTCTAAGAAATACACGAGTATTATTGCTTTGCCCAAGAAATCAATGAAATGGTTGCCAATATCCCAGCAGCACATCACCACTGTTACCTCCTTGAAACATGAGCTGGTGGGAGGATGATGGCAGGAGGATATCTCAAGAAAATGTAGGGGAAGGTGACAAGTGAAGAACAACACAGAAGACTCAGAATGAGGCAAACCACAATGTGGTTCCCAAATGAGGTCAAGGGGAAATAAATATAAATTAAATAAATGGTTGATAGGCAGGAGAGCTCAATTTCCTCCTCAATACCTCTGTAGCATGGCCTGAGAATTTATATTCTTTCTTTGAATTCAAAAGAGGTATGTTTTTCATTGATGCTTCATCCTCAATAAGCATCTCCTTTCAGATGAAAAATGTCTATATTAGTTTACAGTGAGAATATTCAAGTTAGTCATTGAGATGCAACATTATGCATGTCCCACCTGTCTGGGTCAATGTCTACCATGTGTCGCATGGCATTGGTCACACCATGGAAGTCTGGATCAGCCATGATGAGTAGATCCATGTCAGTCATCTCCCACCCCAGGAGCTGGGTGCGAGGTGGAGCCATCTCCCTTATCTTCCGCGATCTCTGGATGTAGATCTCAGCATTGCGGTGCTGCAGCTGTTTCAACAGCTCTTTCCACTTTGCATCCGTGGAAAAATGGTTCCTTGTCAGTTCCCGATACTGAAAAGATGCACTTCAATTGAGCAACTGAGGATTTTATACACGGGAGGGAGGGGGGTGATTGCCAAGTACCTTGGCTTCAAGGACATTCTCCCGCTTGGTGATTTCCTTGGATTCATCTTCCATGAGGATGTAGTTCTCATGCAGGTTCACTTCAAATGGGTCATCACACAGTTCCATCAAAAAGCTTTTCACCTGGAACATGTACATTGCATTGCACATCAGCAAACAAACATGTAACCATGGCTCGAATATCTTGTCCCAAGAATTTGGAAAAATAGATCTTTCAATAGACATGCTGTTTCCTCTTTAATATAGTTGGAGACTATGCCTCTTTATTCTGAATAATTTTCATTCTTCAAATGCAGGTATGGATTCACAGAATAGACCAATTTCTTCAATATTCAATAGTCTATACATTCAAATTCAACTAAAAATAGTTACAAATTCAACCGAATTGTATAAGCTGTTTTTTTTGTGCTTTTTTGTTCATGCTTTCTCTTGATCCACTTGTAAAACATTACACTGCTTACAGGTGTCACCCATAAAAACTCATGTTTACCAAGCTCTCTCTTTGAAAGTCACATCAAGCCAGCTTCATGACTTAGAAGGAGACTTTCAGTGGCTTAGAAGAGGAAAACTTAAACTCTATCGCAAAAGGATGTCAACTTGGCATCAAAGCAAAACTGAAAATGAACAGAGAACTATTATTTTGAGGGTGTATTTTACCCAATGATGCTAAATGGCATTAAACCTGTACCTCAAAAACCATTGCTTCCCCCCAAAAATTCATATTAAATGATATGACATAATACATTCTTTCTGCCACATTTTCATAATTCACACAATGGTGGGTAAAAATGTAATTTCTGCTGCCTTCCTTAGTGCTGGACAAATGACTCAACAAAGGCAGTCACATTGAGTATCTGAAGAGATAAGAAAGAGAGAAGAAACTCCATTGGTGTTTAGTAACAGGAAGGGTCTGAGGCATCAGTTCTCTTCATTCACTCTATTGTGATTAATATTTGATGCAATGATGATTCAGAATAAAGAGCATCTCTCATTGCAAACCATCATTGGATCTGCTCTTTTCATGTGCATCTTTCACGAATGAGCAAGCAGTGAAATAATAAAAATGAATGCTATGACAAAAGATCTCTTTCCTTTCCTTAGTGCTAAGCCTCCTGATAGACATCAATTGAATTATCTAAGAAAAGCAGCATACACATGGAAGACAGAATGAAACCTGGAGACCTTGATGCTGAGGTCAGGTGGCAGAGGGGCATTGTGCCGAAATGGCTCGGATGTCCGTTTGTGAACTTGCTTCAACCATTTTATCACGCCAACCAGCTTCTCTGAATATGCTTTGGCGAAGTTGTACTCATACGGAAACACGACGTGGATCATTGCAACACTCCATTTCCTATTAAAATTTCATCATTGGCTCACACAACTGTAAGAGATGACATGTGAGACAAATTTTCTGTTTGTTGTGCTTCTGCATGCTGCATTGCTACCTCATGTGCTAAATGCTCCAACTTGTTCAAATGAATCTAACCTCACTTGCTTCCTCTAGTCATTAGCAAAATGAAGGGCTGAAAATGGACATGATGCTAACCCTCATAGGACAATGTTACGAGAAACTCTATATGAGAGACTTACCACGTCCTGTTGGCAGGAAGGGTGAGTTCTTCAAAGGTGAGTCGTTCTGCTTCAAGGTCCTCATCATGGGATGCAGATGCAAAATGCAGGCTTGTCACCGAGAGGATTCTGTGGCCATCCATGTACAGCTGCATCACAGGGCTCCTCACATCAACCTCTGCCCCTTTCATTATGCTTACATCCTCTGGTAGGAAGAAAACAGATGCACCTTCATGATACCTGATAATGACACATATTGTCTTGATCCTTGAGCAACAAAGATGACCCTATCCCTGCCTGCTATCAACAAGCCAAGATATCCTAAGGGCATGGGTTTCACTGGAAACAAAGGTGAAAACAATACTGCCCTTCTGATACATGGCCCCACTGCTTCTGTGGTAACTACTTGGGGAATTACCTTGATGTCTAGAAATTGCATTTCCATCATTCTTTTCAGATTTAAATAAAATAATAAGACTGGCTGACTATTAAAATAATATTTTTATGGGAACATATCCACTAACTGCCTGGTCACTTGCAGCTACACAGCTCCCCTTGTTGTGGCTTTGTCTCTGAAGACTGTTCCTGTCTAAATTTCACTCAATGAATTGCTTCAGATACACTTCATGTACTGTACTAAGTCAGGAAATGTTTAGAATGCTGACTGTTTCTTTTCCTTCAATTTCTTTGTTAACCATACCTCAGCTCATTTCTTTGCAAAGAGATTGTGAATGAGCTCCATGGAATGTGTAAGTCAGACTTCAAGAACAAAGGTACTGTATTTTATTTCTATTCCATATCATCATCATGCTTTTGACATGGATGCAACTCATTGCAGGCCCAGTCTCACCTGCTTCAATACTCACAAGCACAGACTGACCACTTTTCAGGGTATGGCTATGGTTTTTCATTAAATAACTGAGATATTTTAAAACCTAGTCCAGCCAAATTTCACTTATTCATGAGCAACTTGCACCAACTCACTTACCAGTGATCAGTTCCACAGTATGATCAGAGGAGACCAAGAGCTGCAGGGAGAAATTTCCAGAGATCTTGGCCCTCAATTCCCATGGGGATTTGGATACATCAGACCTTTCCTTTGCCTCAAGTACTGCATGCCAAAAAGAAACAAATAAATCATGGACTTGAGAAACCAAACCATGTGTCTTCATATGCATTTCAAACAAAGCCTCCAACCTGAAGCTCCAGATTTGGACATGATGGCACCCATCAACTGGCGGAAAGAATTGAGAGCATGGAGCAAGGCAAGATGCATTGTTGTGTGCCACTGGATGCTGGTCCTCCGGCGGCACTCACATAGGATCAGTCTCGGCTTGGTCGACACCTCACACTTCAGTGCTTCCAGGTCCACCATCTTCTTCTCCAGGCCTTGTGCCTCAACACAAGGGATGCCATCTGTTCGGACAAGGGTCGACGACCCAGCTAAACCTTTGAGTCTCACGGCCTGGGAGTCGTGAGATCTATCGTAGGATCCACGGTCCAGGCAATAGATAAGGCAGTAGTCACCTTTGGTGATCACAAATACATTCAAGTTGGTGATGCTCATCTCCAGAGTCATCTGCTGGGTAGCTTTGGTTTCCTGCTTTGTCTCCTGGGAAACAGGGGTCTCCTGCACCTTCTGCTGCATGGTGCGAACTGGTATAAGTGGCATCAAATATGCATGAATCATGCAAAGGGTCTCCATCAGTTGATCACTCCATTCCAGCTGCACGTACTCAAATGAGGACTTGACAGAGTGTGAAGAAGACAGCTGCTTGAGATTGATCACAGCATTCCCAAGATAAAGGGGTACATGCCATATGTGGAATTTCTTTGGATGAATATCAGACTTGCAGGGTGATTGTCTCAAATCACAGGACAAACTCTCCAGCAGGATTTCAACTGAATTGGAGTCTTGGTCAGTCTCCAATGTTGATTTGATCCTGACAATATTTGCTTTCAGGACATGATCAGGTTCAAATGACAGAGAGCCACCTATGTCATTCAAATCAAATTGCACTGTGACTTTGCTGAATCGTCTAGAGATGGGCTTGGGCTGGGAGAGTTTCAACTTGTTGCTTGACCTCTGCGTGGGAAGCTTTGGCAGCCAGCGAGCAGCAGTGCTGTGGAAATAATTGACACGAAGGGACTGGATGTTCAGACCAGCCTCAACCTCTGTACTGGGCAAGAGTTCCAGCGTGTGCCCAATGTGACTCCAAGTCACAAGGCTGAGATGCCCATCTCTCAGCTCCAGGGATGAAGCCGTTAGGTGGACATAGACGCTGCACTCAGTCGACTGAAGGAGCTCCACCCAGTCTTGAACATGATAGGTGAAGACGCTCTGGCTGAGATGTAGACCAAGAGACTGGTTTCGGTCGCGCTCAGTCACTGCTGCCGACAGGGATGTTACAATGAGGTCAAGGTTCCGTGGAACCAGGCTGATCCACCTTGGAGAAGATCGATCCATCTCAAGGGCAGGAATTTCATCTATGTCTTGTTGAAGGGCAGGTTTGGTTTCAGCAAGGAAGGTCAAGATGCCTTCATTTATTGACATGTCTGAGTCCTGGACGTTGCATTTCACATCCTGAAATAAATAAATGAAATAATCCACAAGTCTCCATGTAATCCTTCTTCAACATAACATACATATTAGCACTAGACTTCACCAGCTTATCAAAAGCACACTTCAAAATTCAAAGTGGAGGATAAGAAATGACAGAAAAGAATCAGAGATCTTCAGTGAAATTATTATACAGGAATGAAAACATTTAAGGTCTTGAAACAACATTAGGATCAAATCAATTCTGAATACCCACATCCTTTTAACAATTTTGCAGGCAATGAACACTTGGTATATCTTCCAGCATTTTTTTCTCTACTAAATAAATTTCACAGAAACACTTCATAGGTATCTATTGTGGAACAAGGGACAAATTGTGACTAATACAGAATTCCCACTGATATCAACAGATATGGGTGGGACGCAGAATTTCCAATGCATAATTAAGAATTTGTATAGTGGGATGTAAGATTCCCATGGTCCACAAAAGGGTTAGGCAAATACACTTCAAGGAACATAAACACTTTCTCGCTGTGCTCCCGACAGTCTAACTCACTCAACTCTTTTTGCAGGAGCAAGACGGCAACCTTCACATGGTGCTCCTATTAAGCGTTTGTGTGTGTAAACCCATCAGCACAACTAATGTTGCCAAAAGGCCACCGGATGTCAAGTCATTCATCTCCTGGTATGATCAGCAACAGCAAAAAACCAAAAAGGCTCTTATATGGGCCAACAGCGAAGAAGTATAGGGCCTGTCCTTTGCAAACTCCAGCTCAATGAAGAAGGTTTGTTGCATGCCAAGTGTGACTACCTGGCCAGAATGCTCAGGGACAGCAAAATCAACATTGCTGCCCTACAAGAGACACACGCAGAGGACAACCAAAAAGCTGTGATTTACAGAATCGCCAGATATAAACTCATTGCCTCCACCAATGAAGCAAAGCATGGTATTGCCACATACATCAGGCATGGCATTGACATAACCATACTTGAAGAAACCAATTCTTTGGGGGTCTCTTACACCATAGTAAAAACAGGGTCTGTCAAACTGGTGAACGTCTACAAGCCACCTAACTTGGGATGGCCAACCCCCATGCTTCCACCAGTGACTGACCCAGCTGTTTATATTGGTGACTTCAACAGCCACCACATGGGGGTATGCCACAAATGATGCAGTGAGCTCACAGATTGGTTATCCCACAAAGATGTCCACCTGCTCTTTGACACAAAACAACAGGGCACATTCTAAGATGGTCTATTGACCACAAACCAGACCTTTGCTTCCTGTCAAAATATGCTAGGAACTCTGATGGCCTCAAGGATCATACTGCCACAGTTCCCAAGATGCCAGCAGTGCCCAGTGATTGTGCAAATTGGCATCGAGGTTCCAGTTATAGAATTGGTGCCAAACCCGCATTGGAATTTCTACAAGGGCAAACTGGGCCGCTCAGGGCAGAAATCGAAGACTGGATCCAGCAAGTGAAACCAATCCAAGATAATTTTGAGCTCTTTGCTCGAATTCTCTTCTCCGCAGCTGCACAAACATTCCATGGGGCTTCCACAAAGCATACACTCCTTGCTGGTCAGGTGAGACAGAACAGCACTTGTGGGAGTATAACCTGACCTGTGACCCAGACAAGGTGACAGTTCATTGAGTCACTGAACTCTGAGCAACTCAAGTGATGGAGTGAAACAGTGGAGTCTCTCAGTCACTCCAGCTGCAATGCATGGGCCCTCCTCTGACAACTCAGAGCTGCTGTACAGACTCAGAACCAGCAGTCCAATGTGACAGTAAATGCTGTCACAGATGAACTTCTACACAACACAAAGATGCTAGCCAACAAAGAAGCAAAAAAGGAGGTAAAAAAGACATTCACACTCAACCTCCTTGAATGCTCAGCAACCTGACAGCTTTCTTCCCCCCACACCCTGGAAGAAATTAAAAAGGCCTTAACAGCCACTAAAAACAAAAAGCTGCTGGGCAGACGGTACTTTTTCCGAATTTCTCAAGAATCTGGGACAAAAGGCTGACAATGGGATGCGAGGTTATTAACTGCCATCCACATGTAATGAAAAATTTCAAAGAGCAGGCGAGAGGCAAAGGTCATCACCATACTAAAGCCCAGAAAACCACAAGACAAGCCTGCCAGCTGCTGCCCAATATCACTTCCCTCTGCCACAAGCACGCTGATGGAGAGGGTTCAACTAGCCTGCCTCACATCCACCATCAAGGCAACTCAGCCAAAAGAACAGGCTGGTTTCCACCCCCAAAGAAGTTGCTGTGACCAGGTACTAGCTCTTACAAGCTACATCAAAACTGGTTTCCAGCATTGCCCTGATCAATCTCTTCTCTGCATACAACACTGTATGGAAGGATGGTCTTCTCCTTACAGCATCTACAGTCATCAGATGCAGCAGTACAATTTGCCTCATAGCAACCATGTTAAGTGACCAGAGATACTATCTGATTGGAAAGAAAGTTCTTGGAATTTCATGAACAATTATTACAACCCAGTTTATTTAAAAGCAAAATCATCTCAATCATGAATGTAATCACCATTGGCCTCTATCACTTCACGCCAACGTTTATGCAAACTATGGATGCCATTCCAATAGAACTCTGGCGGCTGCGCTACGAAAAAGTTGGCCAAATCGGTTTTCAGGTCGTCT